CAACTTATATATATATACCAGATTGACTGTTATCCACTTATACATATATAAAATTGATTGTTATCTACTTGTATATATATGAGATTAACTGTAATTAGATTATATATATATCAGATCGATGATTATTGGCTTATATATATACCAGATTGATGATTATTGGCTTATATATATACCAGATTAATAATTATTAGCTTATATATATATCAGATTGGCTGTCATCCACTTATATATATATCAAACCGGCTGTCATCCACATATATATATAGCAGATCAGCTATTATCCACTTATATATATAGCAGATCAGCTGTCATTTACTTATATATATATCAGACCAGCTGTCATCTACTTATATATATAGCAGACCGGCTGTCATCCACTTATATATATAGCAGACCGGCTGTCATCCACTTATATATATAGCAGATCAGCTGTCATCCACATATATATATGGCAGATCAGCTATAATCAGCTTATATATATATAGCAGATCAGCTGTCATCAACTTATATATATAGTAGATCAGCTCTCATCCACTTATATATATAGCAGATCAGCCGTCATCCACTTATATATATAGCAGATCAGCTGTCATCCATTTATATATATAGCAGATCAGCTATAATCAGCTTATATATATATAGCAGATCAGCTGTCATCCACTTATATATATATCAGACCGGCTGTCATCCACTTATATATATATCAGACCAGCTGTCATCAACTTATATATATAGTAGATCAGCTCTCATCCACTTATATATATAGCAGATCAGCCGTCATCCATTTATATATATAGCAGATCAGCTGTCATCCACTTATATATATAGCAGATCAGCTGTCATCCATTTATATACATAGCAGATCAGCTATAATCAGCTTATATATATATAGCAGATCAGCTGTCATCCACTTATATATATATCAGACCGGCTGTCATCCACTTATATATATAGCAGATCAGCTGTCATCTACTTATATATATAGCAGATCAGCTGTCATCCATTTATATATATAGCAGATCAGCTATAATCAGCTTATATATATATAGCAGATCAGCTATAATCAGCTTATATATATATAGCAGACCGGCTGTCATCCACTTATATATATATCAGACTGGCTATCATCTACTTATATATATATCAGACCGGCTATCATCTACTTATATATATGCTAGATTAGCAGTTAACAGCTTATATATATGTCAGATTGACAGTCAACAGCTTATATATATGCCAGATTGGCAATCAATAGCTTATATATATGTCAGATCGGCGATCAACAACTTATATATATGCCAGATCGGTAGTCAACAGCTTATATATATGCCAGATCGGCAATCAACAGCTTATATATATGCCAGATCGGTAGTCAACAGCTTATATATATGCTAGATCGGCGATCAACAACTTATATATATGCCAGATTAGTGGTCAACAGCTTATATTTATCCTAGATCAACTATCAATAGCTTATATATATATGAGATCAGCTATAATTAGTTTATATATAGTGTCAATTAGTTATTATCAGCTTACATAATCTTGCATAATATTGCATAATTATATATAGGCACATATAAGAGAATTTAAACATATATAAAAATATAAAAAATAAAGTTTGTGTAACATACGTCATTATGCATATTCGCGTAATGTAAACAATACAATTGCATTGCTGAAAAAAATTGGTAACTTTTGGCTATACTTGTTATATAACGTGCATAATCATGCATAATCTTGCATAAATGATCTACGTAAACAATACCATTGAATTTGTGGGAAAAAATGACAAAAAATTGCTTTTTTCGCAAAAATTTCCTTTTTTGGTTAGTCTGAATGCACCTAGCGTGAGAAGTCTTGGCATTTTTAGTGTGGGAAGATAGGTTATATAAATAACAACTATGTAAAAGCTTGGCATGGAAAAACATTTAACTTTAATCTATCAAAAAGCCGTTCCGACAATAATTAAATATATCTCTTCTAATGAAAGTTCAAATTCTTACTAAGTAATAATTTTTTAATTTTTTTTGCTATATAAAGAAAATTTAGTAGTATAATATAAAAGTATCAAAATATGTAAAGAGCAAGTACAGAATTAATAAAAATTAATTTTCATATTTTTTTACTAATTTTCTTATAAAAATCAAAATATTATTATATAAATCAATAAAAAAATATATGAACAAGTCAACTTATTAATATTTATTATAATTTTAATGTATTTATATACTATATATATATATATAAAGATTATAAAAGAGTTGTGAATATATATAAAATTAAAGATTAAATATGATTAGAGTATGTAACTTATATTTGACGAGATGATTGGATATGACTTGGATATTGACAAGTGTGAATATATATAATGTGATAGATCTAATGGTATTGACTAATATCAGAGATAGATAAGATGTTATATGCTAATATTAGTAATAAATCAAATGTTATTGGCTAATATTGATTATATATTATATTTTATTAACTTATATAAGTAGTAAATTGGATGTGATAAATATATATATATAATATAAATTGACTGTTATTGATTTATATATATATCAGATCAGATATCCTTTATTTATATATATACTAGATCAGCAGTGTTCAGCTTATATATGTATAAGATTGACTGTTATCTACTTATATATATATCAGATTGGATATCATATGTTTATATATAGTGCAGATCATTTGTTATTAGCTTATATATATACCCAATTGGTAGTCAACAACTTATATATATACCCAATTGGCAGTCAACAGCTTATATATATACTAGATTAGCTAATATCAGCTTATATATGTATGAGATAGACTGTTAATAGTTTATATATATATAGCTGATTGGCGGTCAACAATTTATATATATACCAGATCAGCTATCATCAGCTTATATATATATAGCAGATCAGCTATAATCAGCTTATATATATATAGCAGACCGGCTGTCATCCACTTATATATATATCAGACCGGCTGTCATCCACTTATATATATAGCAGATCAGCTGTCATCTACTTATATATATAGCAAATCAGCTGTCATCCATTTATATATATAGCAGATCAGGTATCTCCTTATTTTATCCTATGGAGAGTTTGAATTTTGAAAACCCGTTGAGGTAGTGACAGGTTTTACTTTTGGTAAATTCAGTTAGAATTGTATTTGTTTATATCAATCAGAAATATTTTTTCTTGTACTTTTAAGATCTTTTAATGATATATATTTATTATTTTTATTATTATCTCTGAGTATTCAAGTTTCTAAAATATGAAGGGTTCTCACTTTTATATTCATCCATCAACTTCACAGCATCTGCGAGTGCTCTTTTTATAAGATCTGCCTTTGTTTGATCTAAGCCAGGAATTGTCTTCAAAGTTTGAAGACCTTCAAAGCCGTGATGCATCGTTGCAGAATAAGCTGCAATTTCGTCAAAGACATATACACCTCTATCTTCAGCAGTACCTCCACTCTCTAATTCCTCCTCTACTTCTTCCTCAACTTTGTTCTCGTTTGCATTTACAGCGTCTTGTCGGTTCAATAACACTCCTGCTATCTCCCATTGCTCGATGAAGCTGAATTTTGCCCCACAGTAATGCTTCAACAAATGTGAATGCTTGCATGGGATCTGGCGGGTCAGAAAGTTCGGGCAGGTGCAGCTTTGTATCAAGTCATTTGATATATTGACGGTATACCACTTATCTTCTGTTACGAAAGATCTTATTTGCCACTCACCATTGTAATCATCCATGCTGTTACCAGTCTCACCCAAAGGGTTGAGAATCATGGAAGGGAGCATGTCATTTTGGATTTTTGAAGCAACAAAAGAATTTCTTGCTAACTCATTATCAATGGGACCTATCTTACCATTGTTGAAGTGAATACGCTCAACCTCTTGTTCAAAATAGAACTCCACATCATTTGTCAAGATAAAAATTAGTCAATCCAATCTTCTGATGCGTGCACGACCAAAGTAGATTGTCTTGAGTTGATTGTGCCATGATTCTACATAGTTGTTTGTCACATATCTCTGATGTAGTTGGCTAATGTACGGGCGCCCCCATCTTTGCAACAATTCTTCGTTCTCAGTCCATTTCTTAAAATATTTCAAAAACTGAGGTTGATCCTGAACCATCAGTTTAAAATCTTCAATTGCTCTTAGGAACACGTCTTCGTTGGACTCAATGAGAATGTGTCTCAGGTAGTTCTTCAGTGCAGTCTTATAATTCCCAAGTTGTTCTGATGTATAAGAGGCATTAATTTTAATCTTGCTGTCAAGGTTGTGCTGCCAAGCGCGAAGAACATGAAAATCACAGTAGTGAATTGTAGCATGAGGTAATGCTTCTTTGATTGCATTAACCTCCATAATGCTACAGTCAATGGTAATATTCATTGGTACGAAGCTGCTCTTGATGCGAAGGTGGTCAAGCCAAAGTTTGATGGGTATGGCTGTCTGGTTGTTTGTCACCATGTATGCAACAGGGAATCCCTTTCCTGTTTGAGGATGGCGAGTGACCAAAGTATATAATACTTCGTCGCTTCTGGACGAAATGGAATGGGTGGCATCGAGACAAAAAGATTGCGAGATTCTCATGATTGAAACTTGCATTGGTGATTGAAATCCAAAGGCAAATTGTTTTTTACCGTCATTATAAACAGAAAGATTGATTTCAAAAATGCAATAGTTTTGTTCTGCTAGCTTTACATTTAACCAGATGGAAATAGATGCATTTTCATCAGAAGCAAACATATATAACAAAGTAGTCATCTATTTTATATATGAGTATTTATTTGATATATAAATATTAATTTAATACAAAAGCTCTGTTATATTCATTGACAAACCTTTCTCATTCTGTTGTAAATTTCTTCATAATTAGGCTTTCTAACGCCAACTCCCCAACTATCAATCTGTCTAAGAACTGAAATTCTTGTAATTCTACAGCTGCTGCCACTTTTCAACTGATCTTCAATAATCTTTATGACTTCAGAAGGCAAAGAAAGAGTTCTGACTTCGTCCCAGTCTCTAGGAACATGGTTTACATGTGCCCTTGTTTGGCAAAATGCAACAACATTGGGGTTGTCGAGATGCTGTATGATTTTTAAGGCAGCTGTACAAGAGCATGCCTTCATATCTTTCTGGGCAAAACGTAATTGGCGGTTTGTTATATATTGGCCAGCACGGTGGCATTTTTTAGTCTCTCCAAAAACTAAACCTTTTCCAGAATATTTATGCTTTTTATTCCATTTTGTTGAGCATAAGACATTGATTTGCTCCAGACACTTTTCCCATTCACTAGCTTTTACTAATATTGTCGAATTCAAAGGAAGCATCTTGATTCCTTCCAAAGGCGAGTTGATCAAGACTTGTTGAATGGTGGAAATATCTTAAATAGTGTTGTTTATATTGTTGTTAGACATAATTGAAGTTTGTTTTTAAGAAAGAGGGAAGTGATTATTTGTTGAAAAAAAAATGCCATGTGTGGGATGCAAAAGTCACTGTCTGCAATTAAAGTTAGAAAGCCACAGGACTAAATTAAATACTATTTCAAACTCTCCGTAGGATAAAATAAGGAGATACCAGATCAGCTGTCATCCACTTATATATATATCAGACTGGCTATCATCTACTTATATATATATCAGACCGGCTATCATCTACTTATATATATGCCAGATCGGTAGTCAACAGCTTATATATATGCCAGATCAGTGGTCAACAGCTTATATTTATTCTAGATCAACTATCAATAGCTTATATATATATGAGATCAGCTATAATTAGTTTATATATAGTGTCAATTAGTTGTTATCAGCTTACATAATCTTGCATAATATTGCATAATTATATATAGGCACATATAAGAGAATTTAAACATATATAAAAATATAAAAAATAAAGTTTGTGTGACATACGTCATTATGCATATTCGCGTAATGTAAACAATACAATTGCATTGCTGAAAAAAATTGGTAACTTTTGGCTATACTTGTTATATAACGTGCATAATCATGCATAATCTTGCATAAATGATCTACGTAAACAATACTATTGAATTTGTGGGAAAAAATGACAAAAAATTGCTTTTTTTGCAAAAATTTCCTTTTTTGGTTAGTCTGAATGCACCTAGCGTGAGAAGTCTTGGCATTTTTAGTGTGGGAAGATAGGTTATATAAATAACAACTATGTAAAAGCTTGGCATGGAAAAACATTTAACTTTAATCTATCAAAAAGCCGTTCCGACAATAATTAAATATATCTCTTCTAATAAAAGTTCAAATTCTTACTAAGTAATAATTTTTTAATTTTTTTTGCTATATAAAGAAAATTTAGTAGTATAATATAAAAGTATCAAAATATGTAAAGAGCAAGTACAGAATTAATAAAAATTAATTTTCATATTTTTTTACTAATTTTCTTATAAAAATCAAAATATTATTATATAAATCAATAAAAAAATATATGAACAAGTCAACTTATTAATATTTATTATAATTTTGATATATTTATATATTATATATATATATATATATAAAGATTATAAAAGAGTTGTGAATATATATAAAATTAAAGATTAAATATGATTAGAGTATGTAACTTATATTTGATGAGATGATTGGATATGACTTGGATATTGACAAGTGTGAATATATATAATGTGATAGATCTAATGGTATTGACTAATATCAGAGATAGATAAGATATTATAGACTAATATTAGTAATAAATCAAATATTATTGACTAATATTGATTATATATTATATTTTATTAACTTATATAAGTAGTAAATTAGATGTGATAAATATATATATAAAGTACAGATTGACTGTTATTGATTAACATATATATCAGATCAGATATCATTTATTTTTATATATACTAGATTGGCAGTGTTCAGCTTATATATGTATGAGATTGACTGTTATCCACTTATATATATATCAGATTGGATATAATATGTTTATATATAGTACAGATCATCTGTCATCAGCTTATATATATACCCAATTGGCGGTCAACACTTATATATATACTAGATTGGTGGTCAACAGCTTATATATATACCAGATTGACTATTATCAGCTTATATATATATCAGATTGGCTGTGATCTACTTATATATGTATGAGATAGACTGTCAATAGCTTATATACATATAAGATTAGCTGTTAATAACTTATATATATACCAGATTAGCAGTCAACAGCTTATATATATGCCAGATTGGCAGTCAACAGCTTATATATATACTAGATTGCCTAATATCAGCTTATATATGTATGAGATAGGCTGATATTAGTTTATATATATATAGCTGATTGGTAGTCAACAATTTATATATATACCAGATCAGCTATCATCAGCTTATATATATATCAGATTGAGTATCATATGTTTATATATAGTGTTGATCACCTGTTATCAGCTTATATATATACACAATTGGCAGTCAACAGCTTATATATATATCAGATCAACTATCATCAGCTTATATATATACCTGATTGGTGGTTAACAACTTATATATATATCAGATTGACTGTTATCCACTTATACATATATAAAATTGACTGTTATCTACTTGTATATATATGAGATTAACTGTAATTAGATTATATATATATATCAGATTAACTATCATCCTCTTATATATATATATCAGATTGACAATCATCTGCTTATATATATATGAGATCGGCAATCATCTGCTTATATATGTATGAGATCGGCGATCATCTACTTATATATATACCAGATTGGCAATCATCTGCTTATATATGTATGAGATCGGCGATCATCTACTTATATATATATCAGATCGACAATCATCTACTTATATATATATACTAGATTGATGATCATTGGCTTATATATATATATGAAAGCAGCAATTATTGGCTTATATATATACCAGATTGGCAATTATCTACTTATATATATATGAGATCAGTGATCATTGACTTATATATATACCAGATCGGTGACCATTGACTTATATATATATCAGATTGATGATCATGGACTTATATATATATGAGATCAGTGATCATCTACTTATATATATACCAGATTGGCAATTATCTATTTATATATATATGAGATCAGTAATCATTGACTTATATATATACCAGATCGGTGACCATTGACTTATATATATATCAGATTGATGATCACGGACTTATATATATATGAGATCAGTGATCATCTGCTTATATATATATACCAGATTGGCAATTATATACTTATATATATATATGAGATCAGTGATCATTGACTTATATATATACCAGATCGGCGACCATTGACTTATATATATACCAGATTGATGATCATGGAGTTATATATATATGAGATCAGTGATCATCTACTTATATATATTAGATTGGCAATCATTGGCTTATACACTGCAAAAGACTGCTGATTTTAGTTCCTGAAAACCTGCAAAAATTTTACTACAATTTTCCATTTTTAATTTTTTCAAATAATTTCTATTTTTTTCTGTTGTGATTTCAGATCGCTCTTTTTTAGCTGTAAAATCACACTACCATTATTTTTTTGGCCATAAAATTACAAAATTGAGTTTTTTTTATATTATACACTTCTTTGATATAATTCTAAATTATATTGAAAAAACACTTATACAAAAGTTAATATAATATTTAATAAAAATTATATATATTCTTAAGGTTTCACTTTTTCTATTTCAAAATAAATCATTTAAATATTTTTTGTATATTATAAATGTGAATATAAAAACAAATATTTAATCCATATATTTCAAGGGAACGAGACAAAAGGTTGTGATTTCATTTTTACTCTGGCAATATTTTTGCGTGATTTTTTCTTTTGATATATGAAACTAAAATATCAGATTTTTTTATTTCACATGTTGTGAGAGGCGAATGTTCCCTTTTTGGATTATTTTTCGTCATGGTCGAATCATCGTCATATCAAATATTATAATTCTAAAAAAAGACTTTTAAAAAAAAATTGCATACACTTTTAGTAATGTACGGAGTATTTGACTTGGTTAATGACTTGACGATATATGAATATAATTATGATGATATGTGCGGTAGATGTATCAAAGAATTACTTGGCATACTATAGTCATGGCATGGAGCAGTATTTTATCTATTTATAATTTTTTTTTGGTATATAAAGACCTTGATCAAGATCTCTTAAAATCTATATAATTTTTTTTATAATTTAAAACAATCAACATGTCCAATAATCAAAAGAAAGACAGTTATGTTATCTGCAAATGTCCAGACTGTACAAAGTTGGATAGCTGTGGAAAGAAACAGAAAAGACAAAATGCACAACGACACTATGAGAAACATATAGTGCCTGTTGCCAAAGACGATGCAATGGGTAAATAACAATAATAATTCGAGCTGTACATGTAAAATTAATATAAATTAATTCATAAAATAGATGTTCCTGAAGAACATTTTGACGACATGGAAGTAGATAGTATTGACAGTGACAATGACAATGATTATGATTACAAGAACGAAGGCGAAGGCGAATATGAAGACGAAAATGAAGAACAAAACATTGAATTTAATCAAGAAGGTAAGAAAATAAAATAAAATAAATGAACAAAATAATAATTGAAACTGATATATATTTTTTTTTATTTTTTATTTTTTATATGATTATAATTATAATTATATTTTTATTTCTACATCTTTACAACAATTATTCCTTTCCAGTTGACTTACCTTTGTCCCAAGAAGAGTCCATCTTTACTGCCGAAGATACAATTACAGGAGCATTTGTTGTTGATGGCAATGAGATTGAAGAAGGCGATAGCGGTTTTGATTTTGAACAAGAAGAAAACTTTGATGAGATCAGTGGGACCTCGATAGTAGAATCAGGTATGAATTAATACGGTATAGACAATTAATCAATATATTAATTTAAACTAACTTAACCTTTGTCTTCATAGTTTGTCCTTTGTCTTTTGATAACATGCCCTTGTATATCCACTTTGTTGCAGTATTCATTGTCATATTTCACTTGATCTTTTTGGTGGAAAGCGGTGGATTGATTCTCATTGAATTTTGTAATACTCTACTGTCTCTCTGTGATATGTCTGGCGCCCTTCCACTGACAATCAATAGCTTGAAGCATAAGACAGAATTTAACATGGCAACAGACGGAATGACAGTATACATTGCATGCTCACAATGTCATTCGATTTATCCTCCGGAAACAAGTCAAAGAGTCTGTACATTTAAGAAATTCTCTCAATCCGCCATTTGCAACAACAATCTCTTTAAAGTGTCAACCGGAAATCGTTCTCTTCCAGCAATGGTATATCCATTCAACTCTCTGAAGTACGCCTTGCAACAAAAATTCTCCAAGCCAGATTTCGTGTCCAAGATCAATTTGTGAAGAAGTCGTCAAATAATTGAAAACACTAAACTTGACATTTTCGATGGTGCAGTTTGGAGTGATATTAAAGACATCAATGGCAGACAGTTTGTTGATGATAGCCGATCTTTAATGTTGACTCTGAACATCAATTGGTTTCAGCCATTTGATGGATGAACACATTCCAGTGGTGCGATATATCTCTCTATCAACAATCTCCCACGGAGTGAACGTCTTAAGTCTGAAAATGTCATTCTTGTTGGTATGATGTCTGGGCCGAAGGAAGCAAGCACTGACAGCATGAATCATTACTTGAAGCCGCTCATTGACGAATTGTTGGAGATGTACATTGTTGTAGAAATGACAGACTCACAAAATAGAAAGATTGTTGTTCGTGCTGCATTGATGTGTGTTGCCTGTGATATCTCTGCCGCTCGCAAAACCTCAGGATTTACTGGCCACATGAGCACATGCGCCTGTCACAAATGTCAACAACAATTCACGACTATAAAGAAGACCAGCAAGCTTGACTACTCTGGATTCAAGTATAGCAATTGGGTGAGACGCACGAAGACAATGAATCTGAAACACACTGTCAGCTGGGCAAATGCATTGAACAATACTGAGCGAACACGCCTAGAAAAATAAAATGGCACTCAGTGGTCACAGCTTCATCGGTTATCTTATTTTGACCCAGTCCGCTTTACAGTTATAGACCTGATGCATAACCTCTATCTTGGAACTGCAAAGCGAATGATTCAGATATGGCGCAAGTGTAACTACATCAATGAAAAGAATCAGTTAACTATGCAAGAGCTTGCCAATAGTATTGTTGTACCTTGTGGATATGCGCGTATAACAAAGAAGATTGCTGATGGTTTTTCATTCATGAAAGCTGACGAGTAGAAGTTGTGGTGCGTCATATACTCTCCATTTGTTTTGAAGCATGTGCTCCCAGCCAAGAATCTCGAAAACTGGATTTTGTTTGTTGACGCATGCCGCTTACTCACAAAACCTTCGATCAATGACAAAGAAATAGAGGAAGCCCACAGTAAACTCCAATTGTTTTGTACAAGATTTCAGACACTGTATGGAAAATCGGCCGTGACACTGAATATGCATCTACATCTTCATCTTGGCGAGTGTGTTCATGACTTTGTGCCAATTTATGCTTTCTGGTTATTCAGTTTCGAGAGATACAATGGTTTGTTGAAGAATATCAAAACAAATCAAAAAGGCGGCTTCGAATCAACAATGATGAAGAGATTTTTGGAGAGAACATACATTGGAAGCTTCATACAATATTTTGTCAACCATCTCCGCCAGTTCGCAATTGACTTTCTGCATCACATTTCAAATAGTCAAGATCAATTAGCAGCATTGCATTCATCTTCTACTGCCAGTACCTTTTCTCTGTCTGACTTTGTTGAATATTTGTTAAACCCTCGTCATTCTGCTTTGGGTTGTGAGCCATTGCCCCCTTCAGTGTTTCTGATTAAACTCAACCAAAGGATTACAATGTGCAAGGGACATTATGAATGTTTACTGGAGTTTTACAGACACGCGTATGGCAGTCACGATCTTTTTGGCCATTATTCAAACTGCGAGTCTAACCAGATTTTTGTCAATAACCAAATTGAGAAAATGAAATGGATATCTCTTCTTGGACAGGAATACTCTTCTGGATCTTATTTCTGCGCCTATTATCTTGAGAATAACAGTGAAGATAAAGCAGCGTTTTCTGGCTGTATACTGTATTTATTTCAACATTTGATAACCATTAACGAAACTGTCATCACCCATACTTTTGGGTTTGTTGAGTGGTACTCTAGTTATTCTTCGGGGAGTTACCAGCCAATGTTAAATGAAGGCATTGAGCTCTGGAATGAACCTTCTTCTGTACTTAATTATGAATGTATTATTCCAGTACATCGTTTGTATTCACCAATCGCAATTGCTAAATATAGGTTTACTATAACTAGTGAATTTAAACGTTTAGTAATCCCTTTACCCCAAAAAATAGAAGCTTAAATAATATTAATAAAATACCACTTTGTACTCTTTTATCAATTTATTAGAAAATGTTTGATTTATTGTCTTATTGTTTCTTTGACCATGATGGCAGCTTGTTTGCCTTGGTCTTACTAAGCTGCTTATCTCTTATTCCTTTAAATTTATGCTCAAATGGACGGGTATTATTTTTCTTATCATGAGCTGCCTCATAATCCGCATCAAGTTCATCAACGAACCTATCTCCCTATATGTCAATATAAGTATTATTACACACCATCCAAAAAAATAGTTTTTTGTACTATACCTCTTCGCTTCTCCAGCTTGGGCGGAATCTCCAAAAAAAACTCTTTTCTGAGGACGAATCCTGTTCCTCTTCTTCTCTTTCATCATCACTCTCAAGGTCTGACATGTAATCAGCATGGAGAATACTGTCAACATTCTCTCCAAAGCTGTTCACAAAGTGTGCCCGATTGGCTTTCAAGGCAGATTGTCTTCTTTCACACGACTATATATAAATATATAATATTTCTAATTTAATATCACATCTAGTATATTGTGTGCGTGTGTTTTTTACCTTTACACATCGCTGACGAAGACAGGCCCGTCGATTCTCTTCCTGCTTCTTTTCTCCTGCTTTTTTTTCTTGCAACTTTCTGTTGCCAATGTGCTGCACAATCTTAGTTCGAAGAGTTGGCAAGTCCACCTTTTTCCCCTCTTCTTGACAACAAAGGTAATTGGTAACAGACTTCAGAACGAGTCTGTTTCCCTCACTGTTTTTATTTTCATTAGTATTGTATTGGTCATACAATTTCTCTTCACTCAAATAATCGCACAACAATTGCTATAATATAAATGTATATTAAATTCTATCTACATAAAAACATATTATGATTACTTACATCCAATGTTGGTTAATGTCCAGGCGACATGTCTTGCTCAACTGCATTACTAGCAGTGGCTTCGGCTTTCTCAGAAGATGTGTTCTTCAAAACAGTGTTTAAGACACCATTAATGGTATCAAGTTTCTTGTACACATCATGGATGTTACTAGTTCCACCCAACGAATCACCTTCAAGATTCAACCGAGCTCTCTTTGGTGCTAGTGGTCTTTGATTGCTCACTGTTCCCTGTGAGTGTTGCAACATTATCGTCCTTATATCATTGGTATTTCTTGGTGGGCTTTTTTTTTGATTTTTATAAAAAACGAAAATAAAATTAATATAAGAAAATTGAAGACTGCCTGGTTTTAATCTACCTTCCCACAGAAGGTTCTTTACCAAAAGCATTGTTAACTGAATTGTTATTGAGATTTCTTGACATTGTGAATAATAAGAATAGCTTGTTTTTTTTAAATCCAAAGGGTCTATTTATATTATGTTTAATTTGGGCTTTAAGTTTTATTCTTTCTCAGAGAACACCATGATCTATTATGTAACAAGAACAGCTTTGAATGTTTCCACTCTTGTTGTGAGTATTTTATGTGTTTCTTTAATTTAATTTTCAATCCATGTTTTATTTTTATATTATGTATTAGTATTTGAATAATATGATTTTATACTATACTCTGTTTTTCATATGTATTAGCTGCTGGCATAGTGCAACTGCGTTTTCTTTCAATTCTAAGTTACAGACAAAAATTATTTTTTGATTTATTTATTTTTAAAAAAAAAACCCCGAATTCGTATTTAATAGAATAACCGCACCCCTCTTTTTTATTTTCTCTTTCTTTAACCTGCTCTTCTCGTTTTGTCTCTTTTTATATGTCTTGGTAAGCGTACTCTTAAGATCTCAACTTTTATTAATACTTTTGGCTTTTAGAATCATCTTAATATATATTAGATAAACAATACACTCAACAAGCATTCAAAACAGTACAGGTAATAAACAATCTCCTAACCAAAATGAAACACCTTGCTGACTAAATATCTTTTATTTTTAAAATGATAGGGCTTCTACCCATTTTTTAATAAAAGATGTTTTGCTCTTGACACTATATACTTTCTAGTATTTTCAGTCTATAAAAAGGTAATATATATATAACTCAACTTAAATAATGTAACTTATCAATTCTTTATCTCAGATAAATATGTCACGCCTTTTTTTCAAGTCATACCGATTTGCCCCCTTTTGCAAACGTGTGTCTATAATATGTAAGTAATTCAAGTGTCTTTACAATCAAAGCGTAAATATTAATAAAGTTGTTTATTTTATTTCTTACTTTTTATTTAAAAGAAAATATCAAACAAACGGATTTTTATTCTATCGCGATATTTGTTATGAACCCCCATAAATGATCTAGTAAGTATGTTATTTCATTTTATTTCATAAAGAAACCTGTATTAATACTTCTGTATATTTTTTTGCTCTAAGCTAATGTAGTTCCAAACAAACGTATTCTCCAAGAAAATACCAAGGATTTCATTTTCAGTTAAAGAAGTGTAAAACCAAAAAACGCGCCGAATACATGAAACCAATAAGGTAGGGAAGTATAGTATAGGTCAGGTCATCCAATGTATTCAAGCCGTCCAATAAATGAAAGTATAACATGTATACAAGTCGTACTATTCGGATACACACTTTTAAAGAAGTATTAGTGGTCCATATTAAATAGCTAAATATATTTTCCAACCATTCAAAAATCAATAAAAACCATTTTTTCCATAGGATTCTATTTCAAATGCGTCATCTCTTGATGATGTCAACAAGATCTATTTAAGTTTTTTTTTACCAGCATTCATTTGAATGCTGATTCCTGTCAGATTTCAGACTGATTCTAGTTCGATTTTAGTGAGGTCTATCCAATAATATCATGTAATTAAAGCAAATAAAATTTTTTAAGAGGTAGAGAGTTCAAAGCCAATTCCATAACAAGTAGGGTTTAGGTACAGTTTGAAGTTATGGGGGAATATATAACCAGAATTACAGATAATTATAACATTTCAAGAAAAGAGGGAATTATAACTCAATTTATCTATTGATTTTAGTATCTATAATCTCATCATTTGGTTAACTAAATGAACCAATTTTTGTAACAAATACAAAACTATAATTGAACATAAACCACTGATTTTTGGAGGATTTAAACAAAAATTAAGCTACTTAAATTGGTTGTCTTTTGCAGTGCTACTACTAATTGATTATTCTTTTAATTTAGATTCTTTTAAATATTTCTTGCTTAATCATTGTTTTTATTGGATAAGTCATAATTGCACTGTAGTATATTTTATAAAAATACATTTTTATTGGTTTCTCAAATGGGTATATTTTTTATCTTTCATTTTTATTGGTTATTACACTACACAATTATATTTTATATATTACTTTTATTGGCTGTTATAATAGACATTACATTTTATACATCATTTTTATTGGTTATAAAAAGTCAAATACATCATATACTTCCAATATTAAATATACTACTTTACACTGCAGTGGATAGTTACTTACAATTGCCTCCTTTGACAGTCTTTCTAGTGATGACTGACTCTTGCAATGGATGCCCAATTTTGATAGCATCTGATGAAATCTATACCATCCCTCTTAAGCATATTTGCATATTTATTACAAATCATTGTTTGATCACATGAAGATATGGACCCCCCAACTAGGACGAGGGCCAAGAGCTTATACAGAAGGAAAGGTGGCTAACTTGTTACATACAAGTTTCATACAGATCCTGAGTGTTGCTTTTTTGGATGCTGTAACCTTGATTCCAAGATGTTGACTCATCATTTGGTAAACATGTTCTAAAGTGATATTACGAATGTTGACCACAGATTTGAAAATAAACCCATTTGAAATCTATTGAAGTTAAAGTTAGTTTTCAGCAATACTGTTTTGAGTTGAACTTACATTAATAAACAAAGAGAGATTTTGCTTTAAAGATCCTTTGATTATTATTTCATTTCCAAGGCTGTTAATATCCATCTTAATTTGTTCACGATTGGCACGTAAGACAGATAACTGGAGCTGAATGACTAGAAGTAAAGATTCAATGATGTTATCTATGTCATTCATATTGCAAATATTGTTTAGCTGAGAAAAAAGATGTTGTTGTGAAAATAAGTTATAAAGAAAAAAATTTCAATTATCTATTATTAGTTTCATAGTAATATAGATTGAATCTATTAGATTGGTTTCAGTAAATATCAATTTTGCTTACCGTGCTTACATGACAACATGATATATATATGTTTTACTTTTTTCTTCTGAGCTTATATTCAAGTTACTGCGCTATTATTGCTTTCAAGTTAATCATTATAAAAGAGTTCAGACTTGAAAGCAAATATCTCTATTCTTACCCATACTTCAAAAGAATAAATTCAAATTAACAAAATGTCTATAATCACAAAGCTTTCCCACCACAAGTGCAGTATCTGCTACAAATGCTACATAAATAAGAAACTTGTAGCCAAGTGTGAAGTTCAGTGCCTGGAAAAAGTTTATAAAGAGATGAGTAACACCCAAAGTTCGCAAGTTGCTTCTGTTTCTGAGCAGAGTAATCTTATCTTGAATTTCACATCTAGCTCAACCTTGGAGTAAGTCTACAAATTATAATGATGCAACTAAATAAAATATATTAATTCTTTAATAATTAAACAGAGAAAGCACTAACATGAGCATCGATGAGAATATTACTCCTTTCGTTATCAATGAAATTGATGAGCCCATGGTAAGAAAGATAAATATACAAATGCATCCAATGTACTAATTATTGTTTATCTTATTAAAGTATGATATTGAACATGAGGATTCTATGGAAAATGATTTGGCAATCATGGATGTTACTGAAAATGTCATTGACAATACTTCTCCTCAGTTGGTCTATGACTTTAGTGCTCCTGTTCCTGTTCCTGGCTACGACGATGCAAAGAATCTCAAGCTTATGAAGATTATAAGGGAGTTTGACATTTCCCAGAAGGCCCACATTAGTCTGGCAAAACAATTCAATGAAATTCTCAGCAGATCAAGTGAGATATCATACAGAGCTTGCACTCCCTATCTTGGTACCAAGCTTCTTTCTTGATTTCTTGGTGTCGATGAGGAGACATACCACGTTTGTTGCAATGGGTGTATGCTGTATAACAATGATCAGCAAACGGAGTGCCTGCATTATGACAAAGCCGGTTACAAGACTGGTGAGAGAAGCCAAGACGCTGGTGAGAATCTAATTCCTGCTAGCACAATGATACAGCTTCCTCTGGGTAGACAGCTTGCAGTTGCTTTGGTCAATGACTGCACCAGAAAAGAGATGTTGTATTGCCACCATCATACGCAAAAGGCTGATGGCAGCATTTCCGATGTCTTTGACAGACAGGCATACCAGTCAAAGAAGTATCTTTTCTCGGGTGAAAATGACATCAACATTTCGCTGTCTGTTGATGGGTTTGCTCCCCATAGTGTTCTGGGTTTGGTAATCATTGTCCACGTTACCAACCTCAACCTTCCCCCAATGATCTGCTACGAGTGCAGCCATATGATCCAAGTTGTAATCATCCCTGGTCCCAAAGCACCCACCAACTTCTGGTCATTCTTGGAGCCTGTTCTGAAAGAACTTCAGGTTCTCCAAGCTGGTGAAATGGTTGTGAAGACACCATCTGGAGATATTAGTGCAAAAGTCCATGTACTAATGACAACTGGCAACATCTCAGCTCTGGGAAAGATGGCTTGTTATATGGGCCATATGAGTAAGGATGGCTGCCGCATCTGCCATGTTGTGGGTCAATCTCCTGGCCATGGCCAATATTTCTGAATGCCATCTGCCATCACCATGCGCACACCGGAAAGTTTCAAGCACTTTGATGAGGTGGCCTCATCCAGCAAAAAAGAGTTAACTGGCCAATCTCCCTTCTCCTTACTGGATTCCTTCTCTGGTCCATTCTTCTTTGCATTGGATGAAATGCACGGCATTTGTCACGGCATTGCCAAACAGGTCTGGGGGCTCATGTGTGGCAAGTATAGAAAATATCATCCTCTCTCTCTCCCTTGCTGCTCAGAAAGAAATTGGTACTGCCATGGTGTCATCTAGAAGAAGTATTCTGACATCTTTCCATGGTGCATGGATCAACATCACAACAAGATCAGGGTACTTCCGGGCTGTGGACTGGGCTGACTTCATTTTGTTTGTTATCCCCACACTTGTGGCAGAGCATGTCCATGACCAAGCTGCCTGTAAGGCATTGCTTGACCTGGTGCAGACATGCAACCTACTCATGAGCTGGGAGTTATCAGCAGAGGAGAAAACCTTGATCAAAACGTAAGCTTTAATTATAATTAATATTATTTTTTTATAACTTGTGTTAACTTATCTTTTTTTTTAGAAATCTCGTCACATGGAATGCGTATCTGGAAGCCTTGCTAGCTAAAGGAGAGGTCCAGCTCAAGGTCTTTACGATCAACCAGCACCTCCTGCAGCACTATCCCGCAATGATAGAAGCGTATGGTCCCCCCAGAGCGTATAGTGCACGATCTGTTGAGAGGACGATTGGGGAATACTCACGAGCAATAAAAAGTAATTTGGCAATTGCAATCAACGCTGGCAACATCATGCTTGGCTTGACACAGATTCGACAGATGAGAGTTGAAAATTAAATAACGGCAACAGCAACAGTAACAGCAACAACTCTCCTTCAGTATGACGATCCCTCTGCTGGTTGGCCAATTGACCGAGAAGGTAGTAATGTTGGTACTGATTCTGACATTGAGTTCTGGGGGCCTTTGAGGAACAGAACGATTGTTGATAGTTTTGGAGGCATTTCTTGTCTTCCAGAGCTTCTTCAAAAGTTCTACGAATCAAAGGGGGAAGAGTGTAGTATGATTGAAGCAGCCATTAAAACAAGCCGTAAGGCATTTGTAAATGGTTGTGTTATTGACTCTGCACTCGACCATAATTGTGTAAGAGAGGCACACAACGTCAGACTTCAGGTTCAGGTTGATGAGAACCGCAACATTGGGCAAAGCTACTCTCTAGTCTACAAGGATTTCTTTGGGAAGGTCGTCGTTTTCTTTGAGCACAAGCTCAACAACAAGAGGTGCCTGCTTGTCCTTGTCAATGTTTATGCAGTTCGTTTGGTAAATAGTATACCAGCAATCAACAATGGGCAAATGAAGCTAATGGTAGTTCACCTGGCAGATGTCAAAGAATTAGTTGGTTTGGTAAAGTCGGACATGACTATAAACACAATAACAACAACAGCAACAACATATGTAGTGTGGTCAGAGCTTAACCGCGGCCCAAAACTGTCACTTGGTTCTCTTGCAGACTTATAATTTTTTTTTCTTGTAATACATTATTTTTTTCAAATTGTCTTAACATATTTTATCCTCCCAGCAAAAAGTTTAGATATTTTTCTCTCTTTTACCTCTGACTTTTAATAGTCATCAATTGCAATCTACATTTACTAAAAATGTAAAATCTGTAGTTAAAATGTACTTTTGTCTATCAGGAGATTTAATTTTAGGTGGTCAATCTGCTTTTTGTCAACCTTTTCAAAAAACAGAGATTTTCTAGTTTCAAATTGGATTTTTGGTGATTTTTTAATTATTATAGGCCAAAAACAAAGTCACAAATACAAAAAACCGCCCCTATTTGTTGTAGTGTAATATTTTATTACATTACTTTTTTATTTAATTATTATTTTTGAAATAAAATTAGAATACTATTAATCTTTTCTGAAGTTATATTTATATATTTTGGTTATTAAATTTGGTTTTCTGTTAAGAAAAAAAACGTAATTAAAATATTTTAATTTCTTTTATTTATTATATATTTTTTTCTTTCTTAAATATTGATATGTTTTATTTATTATTATTTATTTGTATATCTTTATGTGGTGATCCAGACACTCGGATGTTGGATTTATCACATATAAGAGCATATTCATATTGGGATAGTGTAGTAGCTATCATCTTGTTAGTATAAAATATATAAACGATTAAGTAAGGGGATCTATATGGACATGCAAGAAAAATTAGGGTCGGACATGCAAAAAAAGACCAAAAGGGAGAATTAAACGTGACGTCACTTGTAATTGGCCTTTGGGAGTGTTACTGACAAATTGAGCACTGATAAGACATGCAAAAGCAACCAAATTGAAGAATTAAACGTGACGTCACCTATAATTGACTTTTGGGAGTGTTACCAACAAATTGGACACTGATAAGACATGCAAAAGCGAGCAAATTGAAGAACTAGACGTGACATCACATATAATTAGTTTTGCATGTTACACGCATTTTTTTGGGGGGTCAGCCTTGATATTTGTTAAATGTTTCAAAATTAATGTTGATTGTAAAAATATAAAAAATGATAATGAGATAGATATAAAGATAAAAATGGAAGATTGTAAAGAAGATAAATATAGAAATATAGATAAATAGAAAGATAATAATAAATTGAATAGAAACAGAAGGGAATATTGATAATAGAGATAAATATAGAATCTAAAAAGTAAAAAAAAAATCTAAAAAAGATATATACAAAAAGTTAGTATAATTCAAGATAATTCTAGTTTAAAAGTCATACCTTGATTGTTAGTACATCAAAGAATAATCTTCAAGGCCATGTTTTTGAATTATTCTTTTATGAAAGGGGTTGATTTTTGGCCAGCAGAAATTTCGAGTGTTTTTGCACTTGGTAAGAAGAAAGTGGTTTACATCTAAGATAATAATTATCGGTTCCACTTTTTCTGGCAAGGTAGCAAATGGAACAAAAAGACAGTCGCCTGTTTCAATTGGAGTATTCCAATATACAGCCACTGCTCTGCTAAATGTATCGGCTACAAGTTGAGGATGGTCGATTGTACCGAACCAATGTTGCTGGGGGAGAGGTGAGCGCTTGTCTTGGAGACTGCGAATTAGTGGGTTATTGGATGCAGACATATTGCCATGCTCCATTCTTCCGTGGTAGTAGTTGTTTTGGTGCTTTAAAAATGTTTCTAGCATTTTGTCTTTTACTTTTGACCACTCCTCCTGGTCCTGGTACACTTCCATTGCTATCGCCCTGTACCCACAATTTCCGTCTGCTTCAGGAGAAAAGATTGTTGATATATGTTTTGGTGCGATTGTGAGATTTGTTAGTAATGTGGGATTGCATGGTGACTCAAGGTTGATAATATTTTTTATGGCTTTTTGCTCTTTAGCTGAGGATATTTTTTGCCTAGAAAACAAAGCAAAGATTTAGTAAATTAAATCTAAACAATATTAAAATCTTACTTTTTTTGTTCTTTTTCTGTTTTAATTTTTTTTGTGATTTTTTCTTTTTCGGTATTGATGCAATGCTCTAATGCAATCATCTTGTGCTTGGTATTTTTTGGTCGGCCTTTAATGGCTTCGACTACTGTTGGGCCCTTAAGGTTTTCGAGTTTCTGTGCATCGATTTGTTTCAAAGTTTTTTCTATCAATTGGTATATATTGATTTGTTCTTGTTCGCTCTGAGCATTGGCAAAATGTTTGCAAATAAGCTCAAGAGCATAGTTGAATTCTGGGGTTATTGGTTTGATATTGTTGATGTTTGGGGGTACTGGGGTTGCATTTTGGATAGTTAAATGGTCTACATAATAAAATGTTATATGAGAAAATCGTCATGTAATTATTGCTATTATTATATATATTACTTTCTCCTTCTAGATAGTTTTTTCTCTAGCGTCTTGGGATGCAGGAGATTGGGATGGTATTGAATTTGGCGAGTGTGTGGTAACAAGGAAGCAGGTAGTTGTATTGTATGAGGCATTTGCACTCTTTGGCTAGTTTTTCGGATATAATGGATTTGGATAATTCTAATTTGATTTGATCCATTGCAAATCTACAGACTTTAAGACGGATGTCATTTAGTCTGGCGGCATTGACTTTATCGAACACAATTTTTGTTCCTTCTCCAAGGCTTTCCACCATTAGCCAATGCTTGCGATCTGCAACCTGTACAATTTATAAATATATTATAACCAATAAATGCATAAAATAGTATAGAATAAACTTACCAACTCGTCATACCACTTTTTTACTTTAAGGGTAACTGCCTTCAGTTTACCCGAGGAAGTACCAAGAGAATGCTTGAGAGAAGAATGGGCACTTTCTGCACGGTTCGACGTGCGATTGCCGAAATGGGCATGTTTGTAAACATACATGTTCACCCAGTTTTCCTTGTCTTTCATTTTTCTGATAAAGTATATTAAAAAAAACACGATTTTTTATAGTTAAATACTGTTTACATCAAATTTAAAAAATTTATACGTACTTCTCAAGAAAAGCACTAGCAGCTTTTCCTTGGTCTTTGCAATTTTCCTTTGCAAATTCAAGGTATCCATTTGTTTCGTTTTTTACTTCTTGATGTGTAATGCATTTTAAAGCAATTCGGTCAAGGAATTCTGACAGCTTATCCAACAGGTCTCTCTTTTCGCTACTCTTGTCTCCCTTCATCATCGGAAGCAATTGCTTTTTAAAGTTGTCTTTGATATGCTTATAGCACAACAACTGCTTCGACTCAGGAAAGACTCGAGTAATAGCATTTCTCAATGCTTTTTCATTGTCAGTGATGAAAACATCTGGGAGAAGTGTTGTTTGTTTGTCGTTGCTGCTGTTGCTGTTGTTGTTGTTGTTGTTGTTGTTGTTGTTGTTGTTGTCATCGGGCCAGACTGCATCGCGGAGACAGCTAAGCACCCAGAGATAATTTTCTTCTGTCTCATGCTCTACCCAAGCACCGGCAATTGGATACGTCTTTAAAGTGGTACGAGGGTTTCTACTCACATTGCTAGTACCAACAATGTTGACATAAGTCATTCGATGACTATTTGTCTTATATGTGGCATCAATAATGACAGTCTCAGGCATTCTTCGTGCCTCATTGATCGCATCCTGATGCACAAAGAAGACCATATTCACTTGATTGTCTTCTGTATTACCAACAGAATACCTGACATGGAAGTCAAGATCTTGCAGAGTGGTGATAAAGTCAAATATCTCCTTTCCTTTTTCCGATTTTCCGAAATGTTGCTTTATATTAGCAATGTCATGGCGAACAATGTTTGTATATCCATTTATCTTCAAACTGTTGAAGATGGTGGATACATCGTCATTGTTCTCCAGATGCTTAACCACAAGCGCCATTGCCTCAGGCGAGAGCTTGCGGTGCATAGCATATGCTCTGTGGTCTTCTTCAATGGGGTGATTATGCTCTGCCTCACGGGAGCGCACAGTGAGCTTTCCGCCCTTCTTGGTGTTGGCATACATGAAGCAAGGGCAGCCATGCTTCTGCGTGTCTTTTTCGCGCTTTCTCTCCCATCCAGAAAGAGTTTCACCCATAACTGATGTTTTGGAAGCAACCTTCTCGGCTTTTCTGGTATCTCTATATTCGCCAGAGTGCTTGCAAATCAATTTGATGCGAGAGCTTGATGCATATTCAGTAGTGAGAGCAATGTTATGCTTGACACCATATGCTTTGGCAGCTTCTCGAACAGCTACGACTGAAGAGAATTCTCTTCCAACAAGAAAAATTGAGTTGAACTCAGTCAAGGCAGCATTGTACTTCTTCGACGTCTCGCTAACAATGACAAAGTCGTTGGTGTTGTTGATGTTGTTAATGTTGCTCATGTTAAATGTCAAAAAAAATTATGCGCTGATGTTGTAGTAAAAAAGGGCAGTGATTTAATTGGCAATCTGGAGGGTAATTTATCTGATCCCCCCAAAAAAAGATGCGTGTAACATGCAAAACTAATTATATGTGACGTCACGTCTAATTCTTCAGTTTGCTCGCTTTTGCATGTCTTATCAGTGCTCAATTTGTTGGTAACACTCCCAAAAGTCAATTATAGGTGACGTCACGTTTAATTCTTCAATTTGGTTGCTTTTGCATGTCTTATCAGTGCTCAATTTGTCAGTAACACTCCCAAAGGCCAATTACAAGTGACATCACGTTTAATTCTCCCTTTTGGTCTTTTTTTGCATGTCCGACCCTAATTTTTCTTGCATGTCCATATCATTGCCCTTAAGTAATCAGCCCAATAATTATTACAGTTAGTACTGTAGATAATATCTTAAAGATTGTTACGATAATTATATCATACTGCCGAGTAAACTGTGTCAGATCGATATGGAACTAATTTAGTAGAAAATCCTAAAGCTCTAGTATAAAAGAGAAAAGAATAGCTAAGAGCTAAAGAAGTACGATTTATGACTTGATGACATAATTGTAACACCAACACTAGTTAAGCAGTAAATACACTCTAATAACCAAATATAGTACACTGGAAAAATAGGGTAAATTCATCTGGATCAAATGTACCAAAAATGTAGATGATTGAGCCGATATCATCACAATTTTTGTGATATATCATTTTGAGCAATGGTACGATATCATCTATGGTGCTGATGCATATCATCATAACAACGGGTACACGAAAACCCAATGTAGAACGATTGTCAGTCCGCAAACTATGGAAACTGAATAAATATTGTAGTTATGCTTTACTCCTATCGAGTCTACCTCTTTATGTGTTATATTTTGAGGTCTATAAAGAGCTAGCATCCCATATTATTATTTTTACCGGGTTTTTTTATTGGCTGCAGAAATGCTTTAAAAACTATCAAAGAGATGATTGTAGGTTTTTTACAATATAAAGAAATGATGATAGTTGGTTTTTTATACACACAAAAGCAATGAAACTAGGTTTTTTTACAATGGAAAAGAGAAACAAAGCATGGGTAGATTTTTATAAACAAGTCTCTTTGGTTTGTTTTTTATTTTACTTTTATTTATTTATTTTTTGGAAAAATATTGGGTTATACATTTTTTGTTCAATTTTGTTTTATTTGATAGGAAAATCTTTTCTAGATAAAAATCCTAATTTCGCGACAGTTTTGATACTATAGCTATTATAATCGCTAATACTTCTTGCTCGCTATATATAATTTAAAGCCTTCTGGGAGTAGACATGGAATACATACTTTAATAGTGGGAATGCTATTAAAAAATGATTAATAGAAAAGAAGAATTAGTAAATGATTTAAATTGAAATTTCTTCATAAATACTTACAAGACAGAGAAGACTTGACATAAAATTGATATAAACATGTTCTTCAGAACTATAAAGACAATACCAGTAGTCTTTGAATAGAGATACATTCTAAAAATGAATAATTATTAATATTGTGTGTAGTAAAGGCGTATTTATTAAATATATTGTAGTTAACTTACCAAATATTACTGATTATACGTCTTCCTGCATAATATCAGACATAACTAATAAATCGTAATAGAAATAAATATATATTTATGAGGAAGACAAAAGAATAATTTGAATTTTTTTTAAGAAAAAAACTTATCATCATGTTCGATTAAGAGATGATGAGACTCAATGGAAATGAGTAGCAATGGCTAGACAAACAATATGATGAGTAACAAAGATCTGTAAGAGAATGATATCTTACCTTGATATATCAGACAGAGTATAGCCAAACAAAGAGACACATATTTGGTATTGAGCTATAAAAGAAAGAAAAAATTATAAGTGAAATTGTAAAAACATAAGCAAAAGAGAAACAAAGAAAATATCAATAATAAATGTTGTTAAAAGAAAAAAAAGAAAAAAAAAAGACTTGTCTTAAAATCCAGTTTGACCCTGACAAAATGTGGGCTGTAAAAAGTAATACTCCAAAAGAAGATGACCACCGTCATCTTGAAATACTACTTTGTGCCTCATTGAGTTAGAAAAGAAGTTGTCTAAATGTGGATCAAGCGGTTGGGAGATGTGCTTAAATATCAAATGAAAGGTAGAGAGTTAATCTGCACCGCTTATCCTCTTTACTAGTATGTGAATTTTAAATATGATATAACAAGTGTAGTGAATTGTACAATATTAGTTGAAAATTATTAATATTTATTTTATTAACAGAAAATGACAAAGCGTATTCCTACTGCTCCCCGCCGACCCAACCTACGCATGAATGCTGTTCTTAATAGCACAATTGCAGGTGTTGTTGCTCCAATTGATACACCAACTCCAGAAGTAGCAGTTGACACAGCCCCTGAAGTTCAAGTCGCTGTGACCCCAATGGATCACGTCCTTACCTTGTTGGCAGCCAACAATGTTTCGATGCAATCCTTACAAGAAAATGCAAAAGGAGTGACTGATGCAATAACTCATTTGAAAAATGGCCTGGATTTGTCCAACAAGACAAATGAATTTTTGAAGAACTCGGTCCTTCAGCTCATGACTGAAAATGCCGAAATAAAAAAGGCAATGACCAGCCAAAATTCCGTGATGCCTTCTGCTGTACCAGCGGATTCTTCTTCTTCCATGGATGATGATCTTGACCTTGGAGCGAAACATCATCCCTTGATTTCTGTAAGTAAATTGATAATAATAACATTACTGATTAATATATCTAATACTGTTTTTATAGTAACTTATCAATAGTTACATCAAGAAACCGAACTTTGTTAGCACAGACCCGCTCAAAGTTGCTGAGAATAATAATAGATCAGCATGGTCAATGACTGGCACGTATGGCGATAAGTACAACAAGACACTTGCACTGGCTCTCTTCAAGTACCTGAGACCTCAAAGATGTTGCACAAATGTGTCAAAGAGTGTCATTATGAATATAATAAAGAATCACTACCAAAATCAAGTGCGAGTCTTCCGGACCTCAGCAGAGAAGATTATGGCTAGAAATAAAGCTGGAAGATGACGCAACAGAAAGAAGACCGTAAGTTTTAAAACAAAGTTAATTTACTATTGATTTAATGTTTTAATAAAATATTCTTTGGTAGCTTCTTGACCGTCGTATTATCACGTACCAGACATACACAGAGGCTATTCATGAGGGCATGAATCGATATGATTGCGGAAATATTCTTTCTATTGACGTGATGTCTGATGGCGAGTCGGATGGAGATAACAAAGTGCGGGCATATCGTCCCAGCTGGAGAACTGATGAGGTAATGTTAAACATCTATTTATGTTTTAAAGAAAATAATAATACTTTATTAATACTATTTATTCTTTAAACCAGCTCCAGACATTTATTAGTACTATTGATGAACTTACTGTTATCCGTTTGAAGAAAAATTCAGAAAGCTTGAAAAAGCGCATCCCTTATGAGAAAGAAGTGAGCATTCCCGAGAATTTGGCAGTCACTTTACCAGATTGGTGCTTTTCAAAATAAATCATTTTTTTCTTGCCAACTATTTTAGAGTCTTTTTTCTACTTGTTTATGTTTACGGATTAGCATGATGTATACAGATGCATGTATAGCATGCCAAGTACAAACAAAAATTTATAGAAATAATAAAAAATAAACGTGCAGCTATATATATTAGTCTGTATTAATTAATATTTCTTTTTTATACGTGTTTCATTTTTGTATTTGAATCTAAATATATATTTTTCGTGGCAAAGGAACTACACACATCTGAACTTCGCCTTCTAGACCAAGGTGCTCGCCTACTGCGACTGGATAGCAGATTCTATTCACTGGGAGAATGCTGTTCATGCTGTCATCTTCGAACCCCACCTCATTCACCTCAACTCCTTCTCCTGCTCTGGGCTGAAGTAAAACTTCCTTGTACCATCGTACATATGCAAATACATGCTGGCTCGCATGACCAGCAAACGAGTTTACAGCAGTATTGACAAAGAGGTACTGAATTTGGCCCGCGTATGGCTTGGTACTTCTACCATCACTTGTCTCAAACAAGGCTTGCATGAACGACCCGCGCTGATTCTTCGTTTTGCTCTTGTAGATTTGCCCAAGAAGATTGATTGATTCAAACTTCTGTATCCGATTGTTAACAAAATCATCGGAATGACCAGCCTGACGATAATGAACAAGAGTTTGATCATCGTATGTCTCGCGATAGTATTCCAACAAATGCTTATACTCGGATTCATCCATGGAAATCTCCCCCTTTAGAGCTAAAGGAAGTGCGGAAGGGGGCAAAGGCTCGTTTCCCTTGACGATATCAAAGTTGATCTCAGGAGAATCAAGAAAAGCATTGATATCGAATGGGATTGAGGTGGCAGTGGAAGTGGAAGTGGCTATGGAATTGGCAGTGGATGCAGTGAGCTCAAGGATAATCGCCGAATGCTCAGGTCGAATTATTGGCAAAGTTTGGCGAATAAGATCTCCCTGGTATGCTTCTTCAAGATACTTCTTCATATAGGTTCCCTCAAACCCGTCTTTTCTATTTGTCGCATAGTTTTTCAAGATACCATTGCATCTTTCGAAACTAAAAAGCCAATAGCCATAAACCGGGCCAAAGTTCAGTACAGTCTCTCGCAGATGAAGATGGAGATGCATGTTTGGCGAAAGGAATGGGGCTTTATACAACTTCTCGCACTCTCTGCAGAAAGCCTCCAAAGATTGATGGGCTTCATCAAGGTGAGCCATGGATATGCTTGGCATTGAGAGGTACTGGCATGCATTGACAAACGTTGTCCAGTTACCGATATGAGCTTCAGGTAGACGACCACGCAGGAGAACAGGAGAGTACACCAAGCACCAAGACTTCCACTCGTCGGCCTTCATGAATGGGAAGCCACGCCCGATCTTTGTCCCTAATGGCGTGTAGTCCTCTGGCAGTACAAGCTTGTCAGCATCCAACTGCATTTCGGCCAAGTGTGCATCTGTGATGAGACCTGAAGATCTCCATTTCTCCATTATCCTCTTTGCTGTTCCGAGGTACAGGTTGTGCATCGGATCGATGACAGTGCACTCCACGAGGTTAAAGTAAACCAGGTCATGCAATTCTGACCATCGGACACCATTTTCCCTCTCCAATCTCTTTCTCTGTGCATCACTGCTGGCCATTCTCCACAACTCGGCATCACGGCGGTTTTCGGCATCAGTGCGAGGCACCCACTCAGAAAACACGAACCCAGAGTAGTCCACAGCATTGGAGTCTGGAAGGCGAGGGAACTGTCGGTTGCACTTATTGCATGCACATGTGCTTGAATGAGAGGTGAACCCACAAGTCTTACGGGCAGCAGGAATGTCGCAGGCAACAAGAAGAAGGGCAGCACGGACAAGAGCACCAGATGGGCACTGTACGGTAGGCATCACCACACCGCCATACAACTGGTTGAGTTCCGCGACAAGGGGACGGAGGTAGTGATTGATCTCACTTGTCTTTGCTTCCTTGGGCCCTGGCATGAGACCAACGAGAACAACATTCTCCTTCTTGTACCGTTCTGATCTTGGCAAGTTGTTGATGCAAAGGTATATCGCACCACAGGAGTAAGTGACCCCATCGAAAGGTTGAAACCAATCGATGTTCATGGTAAGCATTATGGAGCGCTCATGATTCACAAACGGTAAACCATTGCTATCCTTCAGACTGTTCCACTTCGTACCGTCGTAAATGTCAAACATCATGCCTGGAACTTGCACTCTGATTCTCCAATGGTTGATGGTGTCTTCGAATCCAGGGCGGCAAAAAAGGATAGACAATGTTTTGATTATGGAGTTATACATGTAGATCTTTTTGGGGATAGTCAAGGCTCTTGATGTTGCAAAGAAAAGAGCGTTTCCACATTCTATACCAGAGAGTCTCTCGAAATTACAGCACTCTGGAACAACATCGGACTCTTCGTATACTTTGTTACAATCGCCACATGCAACAAACCGCTGGACACCTCGAGTCACGTCGCTGAGACCGGTCATAGAGTTGACACCGTTTATACTGAGGGGAAGACGGAAAGACTGTCCAAAGTGTGCCAATACTTCGTTAAGAAACTTTAACGGAACAGCACCACCAGAATTGACAACATATTTGGATATGAAGAAGGCAGCAAAAGAAGCAATGAAAGCATGAGTAGGATCGACTGGCATATTGGATGAAGAAAAGTGCTCTATTTGAAAAAAAAATCAATACTTGTTGACTTTATTGATTTATATGTGCTTTTTGTACTAACCTCTAACATCATCAGATTCATCGTCAGAAATATCCAAAATGGTTGCTTCAATGACACCCTCATCTTCGCTTTCAGAATCAAACAAGGAATCAATGTCAAAAAGAGGTAAGTCTTCGGCTGTTTTGTTAGGTAAAAAAGAATCAAATTATTAGATATTATAAATGATTATAAAACTTTAATAAAAATACTATGCATACCTTCAACTTGATCTTCGGCATCAACATTGTCTTCAAAGTCAATCTCCATGTCATTGTCATTCGACATTACTTCTATAACTGAGGCTATATTATATGAAAATAAATATTTAATTAAAATTGTCTCAATAATAATTTTCTTAAATTTGAACTTACAAGAAGATCCTGACTGATATTGTCTCACGATATCCTGTTGTGCATGTCTTCTGAGTGTTTGGGTAGACACCAAAACAAATCCCATGCTATTGGAAGAGCATTTAGAGCACTTGCATTCTGAATTGTTGTTGTTGTTTGACATATTGTGTGCGTATGTTTTATTTTTTAAGTCTTTAGAATTGACAAGAATAGAAAATTGTTCAGGAACACAATTTAATATACACTCCCAAAACTGAAATCACCGACAAAATCTTTGATTTCTACCCCTGAATAAACCATACATCAACTTCATTATGCTATATCTTCTCAAGAAGTTGACAAAATAAAACCAAACATTGTGTTGCTATAGAAAAATGTATATATATTATAGAATAAAAATAAAAAAATGAGGTTTAATATACGGTATGATCACCACGAGCTTTTATGACTGCTTTAACTCTGTCAGGCATACTTGCCACAAGAGTTTGCAGAACTCCAGGGTCAAGCAACTCCCATTCCTGAAGAATACAGGCCTTCAGCTCTTGCACATTGTTAATAGAGGCCTTTCTCTCTTGAACCTTGGCCTTTAGGGCATGTCAGACATGCTCAATTGGGTTCAAATCTGGACTTTGCGACGGCCAGTAGTCAAATCGTTTAATCTCCCAACGGTTTTTCCACCACGTCGTGTAGGACCCAGTATGACAGCTAGCACCATCTTCTTGGAATGTGAACATGGTGTCATGTTCTTCATTCAATTGTTTGTACCAGGGATTGAAGTCCTTAGACAGACAATTGACGTATGCATCTTGGTCTACAGATCCTTCGATAAACGATAATGGCCCAATGCCACCAGCCCAGAAACAACCCCATACCATCACGGAACCTTTTCCATACTTTTCTGTTGTTAGTGTATGGCGTTTCTGGTGCCTCTCCCCTCGTTTACGAATTACGGATGGGTCAGAATCATTGCCTTTCACCATGAACCTCGACTCATCTGACCACACCACTCTGCTCCAGTCTTCGATGCTAAAACTGGCCCTAGCTCTAGCCCAACGCAACCGATTCTTTTTCTGCTCACGGGTTAACTTTGGTTTAGATACAGGGGTGTAAGAACCGAAGCCTTTTGCTCGTAGGTATTGGATAACTGTCTGTCTACAGACAATAACGCCAGCAGCTCCCAAATTTGCCTGGTGGTATCCATAACTCTCAAAAGGATTACGTCTCACACTCAAACAAAGACTTGTAACGTCTGTTACACTAAGTTTCTTTGGTCTCCCAGGTCTGGTCTTTGTCTTGGCTGTTCCAGTAGTCTCCCAGCGCTTTATTTTATCGAAAACTGTAGTTCTAGGAATGTTCATACGGTTTGCGATGTCAGTTGGAGTATGATCGGCTTTTGAGAGCCAAACAATGCCTCCACGCTCAAAATCTGACAGCTCGCGTCTGGAGGGAGTAGTTTTAATTCTTTTATTACTTTTCGACATTGGTGGTTAAGTTTGAGGTAAAGGTGTGAGGAAGAGAAAGGTAAAGAATGTTATAAAAAAAGCAGCATGAAAAATGTGGTTCATCGATGATTTTTATTGTCGGAGTGTATATCTTTCCAAATTACACCAGCTTCCAAAATGACATAGTTTATTCCGGCTGTTAAAATGGGCAGTTCTCTAAACAGTAATTGATTGCCTCATTCTAAAATACAATAATACACACTTTTGTTAAAACATGTCGTCATGTACATTTTATTAGCTGTAGAGCATATACAACAAAAATATTTGTAGTAATATCACGACCATTAACCTCATCATACTTATAAATAAATATTACAACAATAAAAAGCTTTATTATCTCACTCAAAAGATATCATTTGGTTTAAGTTTCCTACAACTATTGACTCTGCGACATGGCTACAAGTCCCAAAAAGAAATCTCGCAGACATTTTTTACAAAAAAGAGTAAACTCGTTTTTTTATCCAATAAAACAGACCGAGCATTATCATCGCCGTCGAAAATAAAAAAGACAAAAGTGATGGAAATTTAAGCTACCACTCCACAAATAATAGTACCCTACGCCATAGATGAAATTACCCTATTTTTCCAGTGGTAATGCTTTGAAGTATCGAATGTATGAGACTCTGCTATTGGGTCTGAAAGTTGTGCGGACAAAATAATGTCATAGTTCTCTACTATGCTTGGTCTATCCTCTGAAGAAAGGATAAGAAGCATATATACATTGTGGGGGATCTCCCTTCTGGAATTCGATTATATATATGAAAAAACAACACTTTTCCAAGGATGTGTTTTGTATCTATTAATTTACAAACCTCTTGCGCTTAATATGAAGAGCTGGTGGACATAAATTAGGAGTATTCCCGACTTTTTGTTCGCCTAGTTAAGCGTTGGTAATCTTGTAATTGTAAGCTCCGTAAAAGGATAATAAAGATACTCGGTCAGCCAAAGTCCGAAACCATGCTCATAGCATCTTTGGTATACCTGTCTAATATGGCGTGAATCACCAATAAATGCAAATTATAAGATTACAGTTTTTCCAATATTCGATCAATACATGCCTGCTATCAAGATTCAATTCACCGCAAATTACGCTGTAAAGACCCAAACAAAGTCTCGTTTAACTGCTCATACTATACATGAATTATTATGCTCAATATTGATACACATACCTGTGATTTATTGCTGAAAAAGTGTTGCCAAATGGATAAAGAATACGTTAAATGTTAGGGCGCTACATCAATGGTTTAGAGTATCAGTGTAATGATTTTATGAGTTAATAAAAGCTTTAATCCAACCTCATAACATACCAATTTATGGGTCCTGAAATTGTAAGCACATTTCCAATTATTATTGGCAATAGACTCGTAAATACTGATGGCAGGCCTGTCAAAGTTGGGACCTAATGACATAAACCCCATTGTCACCTGTAATGTAATCTGATATTTGACATTCTGTTTTTCATATATTATACTTCTACTTCTATTGGGCTTTGTAATCCCAAAAGAAGTATGCCCAGGCCATAGAAGGGTATATTTGGCTCGGTCGCAGCATATACTAAATATAGAGAGTAAGAGTAAGAGGAAAAGTGTATTTTTGGACAACTGTGTTTCTTTCCTTACAAGCGCATTGGAAGCTTTTTAAGCTTTTGATAAGGCACCCTATTGGATCTTAAGCAATGTTGTAAAAAGAGTTTATCTGTTTTGTTAAATACGCAGACCACTTAATACTCCTCATAAAAGTCATTGACATTATTAGGAAAGCCAAATTGGATACTTAAATTGAGCAATAATACCCCAAAAGTATCTGTATCATCAATTGTTGTCTGTCCGTTTCTTTTTGAGGAGGGAGGGCATGCTTTGATTCGATATCTTGACTTTCAGTAAGGCACGTAACTATCCTCAAGGCAGCAAGTAATTATATATATATATATATATAATTACATCGATTGCTTTATTCAGATTATTATTGAGCGCATTATTATCGTAGACGGCTCTTATTCTATGAATAATGGAAGCGCTATTTCTTAGATCCAAAGGACAATTTTCATTGAGCTGCGACTGTGGTCAGTGAGACTCTATTTAGCACAGAAGCTCGTTAGTAAGGAACACAATATACTCTTGGGTAAAATTTTATTGTGGATTTAATAAAATACATAAATTGCAAGAAGTTGATATCTACATTCTGATTTATTGTAATTATTGTTTATTAGTTATAATGTAAGATATCAGCCACATTTTGTTTAGTAAATTAAAGATACTTTACCGATAGTAATAATAGTAGTATTGAAATCAAGGTAAAAAGAGTATATCAAATGTAACACCTTTTTTTATATGTTAAAAGATTCCTTAATCTAACCAAGTCATGTTACTGTTACCTTGTTCACTTTGGCTGTTTATTCTTCTTTAATCTTGCTTTAAATATATTTAAATATTCGTTTCATATAAAGCTCCTATATAAATATATAGTATAATTTACACGCAGACAAATACATATATATTGGGGGTACTCAGCCAGATTGATCGATCAAATTCTTGTGTGAATCTTGGCCAATGGTATCAATTTGTAGTTGAGGACACCAAAAGACAAAAGTACAAAATTCGTACAAAATTCATAGATTTTTATAGCATTTATAGAATAATCTTTGCACATTCTGATTTCTTCTTTGAACCTGTAGGCATCTAGACTCTCGAAGAAATCAAGTGCTCTTTCCCTTTACTCAACATCTGGCAATACATTGTCAACCTTGTGTATGTATTTATTGGCTTTAAGTGTTCGTTTAAGCTCCTTCGCGGCAGTCATCTGCTCCAACTTTATATTAACTTCCTTTTTGATTACTTCTAAAATATCTTTAATAAGTTCGTCTGCACTTGCTGATAAAGACTCTACCAGTGTTTTTTTTTCACGATAAATTCCCTGATTTTATGCGATTTCTTCAAGGCATCAATTGCTTGTTGCTTTGTACTATATTTTGGCATGTAAGATGGAGAGAAAGAAGTATTATATAACTTTTGGCAATAAATTCTATGATTTATTAAGGAGAAAAATAAAAACAGTATCGTATTGCATATAAAAAGTAAGGATTAGGTTAATCAGAGAGCCGTACGTTTTTCGATCAAAATTTGATCGAAATTTGATCTTTCAAAAAGACGATCAAATTTTTATCGTCGCTATTACAATTGTAGTCCAATAATATGGCGTTCTGAATTCAAAATTTGATCGATCAATCTGGCTGAGTACCCCCATTATATATAAAAGCTAAAGACCCTTTTTTTTCACCATTTCTTTATATGTATTCTAACAAAGAGGCTAAAAGAAGTCAATATTATAATACCTATTTATCAATTTTACTGTTTCAATATTTATAAGTATATAAAGCGTGAGATATTTGTATTAATGAATTATGGTTTTAATAAACAGTGAGAATGTGTGTATAACACATAGCATATATATCTTGTGTATATATATTTAAAAATTTAAAATTAAGAATATTCATATATACTTTTATTTATTTATTTTTTATTTTTCTCTCTCTCTCTTTCAATATTTTTTTTATCTTTCACCATGACATTAATCACTGCTGAATCGTTTATCACAGCAAACTCACACACTCAACGATGGAGTACAAAACGAAGATCAGCAATAAAACAGAATACTCAAGCCACCAAGAAAAGAACACCTCCTTCACTTCCTCTTCCTCTTCCACGGCCGCTGTCTAACGAAACTGTGGATAAGATTACCGCAGTTCCGCAGCCTCCTGTTCTGAGAGGATTGGTTGTCCTATTCGATGACCAGGTTCCAAACTTGGAGCTTTTGAGAACAATGGCCCTAGCTTTGGATGCCACCATTGCAGAAGAAATGAGCCCTTTGGTGACTCATGCTGTCGTCGCCAGCCACACGCCTCTACTCAGACTGGGTATCTCAAAGCACCAGAACAACAGCAACGACAAAAGCAACAAGGCCCCTGAAAAGAACCCGCGTCTTGTTTCTCCAATGTGGGTCCAGAGCTGTTTTCGCCAACAGAAACGTCTTGCTGTACATTTCTTTCCGTATGATTGCGATCAAAGTTCGCCTGCTGCGGGATTATTTGTGGGTGACACCTTGAACAGACCGGACGGCGAAGACGAAGATGAAGATCCTTTCGGTGTCACGTCAAACACGCAGCTTACACACACCATAAATACCGCAAGTACAAGCAACACTACAACCACCAACAACACCACTACCAATACTATTGTTATTACTGCTACACAAAGATCTTTACCTAGGTCGTCTGCCATGTCTTTCCGACGGTCGGGTAGGCAATCAAGCTTCTCATCAACCAGCCAACAGTCATCCCCCCGATCTTCAAATACTGGACCATCTATTGGAGATAAAATAACACAGCAACCTATAATCGAATTTGATGCATTGCGGCAAACAAATTTACAGAATCCAGTAGCTATGGATAAGAAAAAGGCAGAGGTAAAGGTGGAGACAGAGACAGAGGCAGAGGCAGAGGCAGAGGCAGAGGCAGAGGCAGAGGCAGAGGCAGAGGCAGAGGCAGAGGCAGAGACAGAGACAGAGACAGAGGCTCAGGCTCAGGCTCAGGCTCAGGCGCAAGCAAATACAGAGGATAAAAATAAGAAAACTAAGCCTGGAGCTGAGAACATGACCAAGGGAAAGCAGTCAGCACAAGATATCAAACAGATATTCCAAAGAATGATTGAATTATGCAAGACATCCAAATCAAAAGACTTTTCAAATGCAGATGAAGATAATTCATGTATTGGAGATCACAACAAAAAGGGTGATAAGAATGTAGTAGGCAAATCATCAACTATAAAATCATCCTCAGTGTCGTCTGTATCGTCGTCGCCGTTACTGTCATCAACATCATCAAGAGTAGCAGTAGCAGCAGAATCAGAGTCACTATCAACAGCAGCAACAACATCAACAACAGCATCAACAGCATCATCAACAACGTCTTCATTTTCATTGTCAGTCGTGACGAAATCTTCAGAATTGTTACCTAATCCACAGAATCAGGCGACTACCTCTGAAGCTGGATCAGACACAGACACAGACTCTGAAAGCATGTCTGTAGGTACTTGGTACGGTGAGCGGGTGTGCTCTTCGGAAAGTCAGAGTACATGTAGCATGCGGTCGTCTAGCTTGAGGTCGTCCAGGTCAAAGCAACCTTTGTCTAAGCGGCGTAGAGTTATAAAAAACAACCAGTTGATGAGAAAATAAGAAACTATAAAATCATCCTGCACCATCACCAAAACCAAAACCAACCCCCCACAATTGAGCCATAGCTGTCAAAGAAGTTGACCTTTCTTTTTATTTACTTTACTTTAACTTGCTTTCATTTATCACTGCCATATTCTGTTCTATCCTACCATTGTATATTTTCACTATTTTGCTTTTTCTTTCTCTTTGATAAATAAAACACACACACACCAAAAAAAATTACGCACAATGACAGGAATATAATTGATTGGTTAATATAGATCTATAATTTTTTTGGGAAGCTTTGATGTTTCAATTGCATGGTTTTTGCCTTTCTTCTTCTTCTACCTCTTTCTTTGGTTTCTGTTGCGCTTGTGCCAGCTTCTGAAAACTAATAAAATTAGATTTTGTTGATTAATCAACTTGTTTATTTTAATTTGATTAATTGATTATTTTATTTTAGGACAAAATTCACTAGATTAATTAGAAGAAAGATGTGATATCATATTCATGTTTATGATTATGATTATGATTATGATTTTTGGGTTTGGGTTTGGGTTTGCATGTTTAATGCTTGATAAATTCCGGTAATTCCTTTTTTTGTGATTACCTTTATTATTACTTTTTTTTTCAAGGTATGCATACACCTGTATGTATGTACAATATATATATATATAAGCTAAAGTAAAGAATCTGCCTTTTTTTTCCTTTTTTTCCTTTTTTGAAAGTGGTATAGCATCTGTTTGGTTGTATCCTTTTAAGCACAATTTGAATGATGTATATATTACAGTTAATAAAAAAGGAGCTATTTGGATAATTATGCCACTCTTGTAAGTAACAAAAAGCAAAATGATAATAATATTACCCGTGTGTAAGGTTGGTTAAGCTGTGAATGACATTACCCATTTTGAGTACTATTGTTAGTGTCCAAGATGGTTAGTCTAGCGAGGTGTCGGGCAGTAATTTAGGATTTCCAATCAAAAAAAAGGAAAGGAAAGGAAAGAGAAAGAGAATAAGTAAGAATGAGGTCAGTTTCTTACAAGCCATTATTGAACAATAGATACGAAACACAACGTCATGTACTAACAAGTAAGTAAGTAATGTGTTATGTATGTATGTATGGGTGAGTAGGGTATATGTGCTGGTTACAATTCAAATAATGTATGTTCTGAAATCGATTGATTGATTAATTGAATTTTTATCTTACTCTTTTTTTGTACCTATGAAAATAATGATATAATAGGCTGTGGAATTCAGGAACAAGATGGTTAAATGAGATTATATTAGCACAAGACACACATGTGTATGCATATAGTGGTCTATCTAATTCTATCAAATCAATTGTTGTGTTTTCCATTCATACAGATATTCGTATGATATTTAATGGATAAAAACGATCAATTTACTATTGATCTTTATGATTGTGTGAATAATATTTAATCTAATGAGTCTCGGTTATAATGTACTTTCATATTGATTTATACAGCTACACATTGAAACAATACAGCACAAGAAAGAATCTCTTTATTTTCTTATGTTCGAGTACAATGTTGCGCTACAACTGTGTACAGTGACTATTTGATTGGAGGATCAGTATCGCAAATATCCATGTATCTATGTATCTATGTGAATGTATAAGAATGGTACTTAAGCCACGTGATGAACAAGACAATGAAGTGTAAAATAATAAAGAAAGAAAGAAAAAATAAAAATGTTTCCAAAATTTTGGGCTTAATTCGTTTTTTTTTTAGTTTTTTTTTATATTAGGAATTTCAGAGACAGATTTAATATAAAATAGACGTGAATATATATATATATTATATTATATTTTGCGTGCCCTTTAATAAATATTTATATTTATAAATTTTTTTTTTCTTTTTTAAATTTTTTGTACTTTTTTTTTTCTTCTTCCTCTTCTTCTTCTTCTTCTTCTTCTTCTGCTTATTTTGTTCCTTATTTTTTCTTTTCAAAACAATAATTTAATTTAATTTAATTTAATTTAATTTAATTTAATTTATTTTATTTTATTTTATTTTATTTTATTTTATTTTAAAAAGAAATAATCACAAAAAAAAACGCAAAATATATATAAGATATATTTAAAGCGTATAGATAGACAGATAGACAGATTCTGTATGTATGTATAAATGTATGTATAAATGTATGAATATTTATATAAAAAATAAATAATTAATTAATTAATTAATTAAATATATATATATATATATATAAATTTGGGGTTTTTTTTTATATATCCTTATCTCTTTTATCTGCTCGACCATATAAATATATAGACACACACACAGACAGACGGACAGACAGACAGGCAATAAAGAACAAGGTAAACAATGACAATCAATCAAATCTCTTTCTTAATTGCCATTACCATCGGGAAACTTTCATATTACACTATAATTCATGTATATATATATATTCAAATTTTTCAAATATTTTATTTGAATGAATGACATGAACATTGCAATGATGAATAAGTGAATAAAGAGAGTTGACCAGAATAAGCTTTTATTCATTTATCACTATTGTTCTCACTAATAAGCAATACATGTATTTCTATGATAATGATAATTGGAATCGATTTTAATCATTATTCAAAAAAACCCAAAGAAACCAAAGAAAAAGAAACGAACAGATTCTAAACTCTTTCAACCATTTTTTGTTATTATTATTTAATACTAGATAATATATCCATTGATCTATTCTATACATCTATAAAGAGGATTTGAAACCAAAACTAAAACAAGAATAAAGGGTTTGTATTAGAGAGCTTATTTTTTTTCTGCTATCGACATAAAAGAAGACATCGGAAGGACCATGGTCGTTATTGTAGGCAAAGATTGACTATTTGAATCTTCACTGTAGGGCTTCTGGTCTTTCCAGCCGAGCAAATTGAAAAATAAAAGAACAAGATCGACACAGCTGTATATATATACATACGACTGTTCTCGCTTTATATTCCACAATCGACCATAAAAACAGACGAACTTACAGACGAATAAGCGAACGAACGAATAAACGAATAAGCAGACGAACAAACGAACGAACAAACGAACGAACGAACGAAAAAACAGACGACTAAGCAATCTGTATATTGAAGATTGAAACCCTTATTTGTTGCTGCTGTTACCATTAAGATATATACATATATATATATATAAAAATCAGTGCTCTTATTATCATCATTATGTCGAGCGTTCGTTCTGGATCATTGAGAATACGCAGTGCGAATCGCGGCAAAATAGCCGGCGCAGCTCTACAACGGCAAAAAGTAACTACTCAGGAGCCACCAAAAAGTCCAGCTGTAAAAAAACGAAAGAAACCCGAGGCAGAGGCGTAAGAATTGCATTTCCATTTATTTATATTATACACACAGATATATATATATATTTGTGTGTGTGTGTGTGTGTGTGTGTGTGTGTACGTGAATGGACTGAAAAAAAAAGAATGAAAGATGAGATGAGATGGATAATGACATAGGCACAAATATATACACATACACTCACATATATATTATTCATGATATTGAATACATGGATTTTTGAATATTTGTATGTATATTCGATATATATATATATATTACCTACAGACCACCCAAACGTGCTGTTCGACGAAAGACCGAAAAGAAATCACAGTCGGAAAAGGATATCGAAGATGCAAAGGTAACAAAGTAATCATAGTAGTTTGTTCCGATTTTCCAATAATTAACATTCCTGACCAAACTGGAAACAGAATAATGATTATTGTGATGCCTGTGGTGGCCTGGGTCGATTTTTGTGTTGTGATGCTTGCCCAAAGGCGTTTCATTTCACGTGTATGGAACCACCAATGGAGGAAGAGGAAGTCGAAAGGATCGAGGGTCAATGGTTTTGTAATGAGTGTCAAAACAAGCAAGACAACAACACTATCAGCGATAGCGATAGCGGTAGTGGTAGTGGTAGTGGTAGCGGTAGTGGTAGTGGTAGCGGTAGTATTACTATAAGTGATAAAAGATCATCTGAAAGATATCGAAAAAATGGATTATTCGAAGCACTTTTACAAGATCTCAAAGGCAGAAACCCAAAGGCATTCAGTCTTCCCAAAGAGATCCGTACTTTCTTTACGGGAGGTAAGCAAATCTATAAATACTCTTATACACCCACGCACACACACACACACACTCTCTCTCTCTCTCTCTCTCTCTCTCTCTCTCTCTCTCTCTCTCTCTCTCACACACACACACACACAAATTTTATTTATTTATGTGTGTGTGTGTGTGTGTGTGGGTGTATATATTTTTGAGTTTATTTGTATTTCAAAAACAACAAGAAAAAACTCATATGTTTCGGTTGAAAAAAAAAAAGTGAGTGCAAATTCTTTAGGGGAATATGTTGATTCAACCACTGTCAAAGCAGTTCGATATAGGTAAAGCTCCAGTTTACCCATCATCATTACCGCTATAGATATCTTTTGGGTGTGTGGGTGTGGATAGACAAGAAAAGAAAAGGGGTCTTGTTTTTCTTTTATATTTATTTGTCTTTCTTGCTGTACAATAACCACCATGACGATATATAACAACAACAACAACAAAAAAGAACAGGGAAAAGATGATTTAACGTTGGTATTAGGAATGGCCAAAGAGAAGAACCTGATTACAGACAATTGAAAGACAAGAATGGCAAGTTTATAGTTTGCTACAAATGCCGCAAGACAGCTGTATCAGCACCGATTGTTGGATGCGATTACTGTCCTCTTTATTGGCATATGGATTGTCTTGATCCTCCGATGTGTATCCCACCAAATATATCCAGGAAATGGATGTGTCCAAATCATGCTGAGCATGTCATGGCAAGTACTTCTCCCCCTTCAAAGAAGAAGAAGAGAAGAGGAGACAAGAGAGGAGAGATAGATAAAAGAGATAGGGATGGGGAGCAAATGCTTCTTATATGTACATACATACTTATACATATACATATATATATGGGTGTATGTGCTTGTAAGCATTTGTTTTAGCTTCTTCATGCCTTGGCTCTTGACTTTGGTCTTAGTTGTATTATTACCAAATCCAACTAATACAAAAAAGAATTATTCCTTGTTTCTTATTCTTTTAATAGCCCAAGCGAAGGATACAGCGACGCCCACTAATCATAGAGCCTAAATTCCCTCAAAGTACCAATAACGGAGATATTGAAATTGTCAGTGATGATTCAACAGATTCAATCGACACTCTTGATGATATGGACAGCTTTGATCAACTAGCATCTTGTGGAGGAGTTGTCTACAGATTACCAGCAAAGGCAATACAAACCGATTTTATGGAGTATGCAAAGAGGTAAGAACTAGAACACGTACAGATATTATTGTTCCTGTTGCCATAGTATCTATATTAGTTGCCATAGCATCTATATTAGTTGCCATAGTAGCTGTAGTAAAATAATAAGTACAAACAAAAGACAAATGTCACACTCAATTTTATTTTATTTTATTTTATTTTATTTATATAAAAAATAAATATAATAGTTTAAGGCATGCTCATCAACGATCAACAACCGCAGAAACCCTTTCAAAGGCAACCTCGCCTCTTTCTCATCCAAGCCCAGAACCTTTTTTACCATCTCCGCAAACTCTTGATGGGTCCCAGGATCCCACTGATAAAGCAACTGAAGGAGAAGCCAAAGAGGTTAGTTTATATATATATAGGTATATTATTTGTATTTACATATAGAATTCTTTTTTTTTATAAAATATATAGTGGTTAGAAAGTCTGTTATTTTTCCAAACAAGTGGTGAAGAATATCAAAAACACAACAACGATCATGACCATGACCATGACCACGACCAGAAAAATGACCTTAGCCATGACCATGATTTCAACTACCAACAACCAGAACAAGGGATGGATGAAAGTAGTGAACAGAATACAAATGTTGATCAAGTTGGTCTACACGCACTATTACATGCAATATTTGTAAGTTAACATGTAGATTTGATTACATTTGCTTATTAAATGTATTGTGGTTTAGCATGACAAGTATGACAAGCAAGACGATACACCAAAATCCAAGAGACGGAAAGTGGAAATTGATCAAGACCGATATGAAAAGTGCCTGAGGATTGAAGAGCTCTTGAGACGCAAAGGAGAAGAAGCCTTGATGAAGATACTCACAACCACAGACTGATAACAATTAACATCCCCGTTCACTCACATTTATCTTCTTCTTCTTCTTCTTCTTCTCCTTCTTCTTTAGCATCATAACATAAGCATAATCATCATCATTGTCATTATCAGCATTATCAGCATCCTCTTCCAACTATTAATTATTTCCTTTGTTTTCATTTTTAAGCAGAAAAGAAAAGAATACTTACTCTCATTCTATAATTTCTTATTACTACTATCACTATAACTACTATTACTACAACCATCGTCTTTTTCTTTATCATTCCCTCTTTCTCTTGATTATTATTATTACTACTATTATTATTTCATATAACTTCATTCATGCATATGCATTCTACAATCTAATTTTATTTTGTATAAAGTCCTTGAAAATCCTCTATTTACTTATTTTATTTTATTTTAAAAGAAGAAACAATCTTTCGCTTTATGTCTCTTACATTTTGCTTGTATTTTACTACAACCTTTTCTCTTTTCTCTTTGGTCTTTGATACTTTTACTTCAATCAAAAATCAAGAGGTAAAGTAAAAGAACTAGTAAGAGCTGAAATATACATTCAAGGACAAGCAAAATCTGAACAGAGCAGAGCAGAGCAGAACAGAAAAATCAATAGTCTAAATTAAAGTGGTGTATTTGACAATCATTATGAAAACTCGGTGCAGTCCATTAAATAGATACAGATACACGTTTCTAAGCAACCAAAGTTTTTTATACATTATTTTTGGTTTGGTGTGCCCATTTAACTAGATTCTCATTTGAATATATGTATGTATACTAGATAATATCTTTATTTATTTATTTTGTTTTTTATATATATATTGCTTAATTATAACTTGGTCTTTCCTGTCCTTCTGTTTCAAGTCCTCTACCTTACTCTCACTTGCTGCCAAGACTTTGAGTTCATGATTCCTTCTCGTATATTCCACGACTTTTTTTTTAAATTTTTTTTGACCATGTGGCTCCCAATTGTTGAGTTGAATTAATCCTTGCTGCTGCTATCAGTATTATCACTGGACAGAATTACTTGCTTTTGCTAAATAAACACATTATTCTTCTTTTATTCACATCTACTAGTAAGAGTCAATATCTATATCTAGCTTTAGGCACATTGTTGCAAAACTCATACATACATATATACATATATAAGAGTAAAAGATCAAAAGAGGGACAGAAATTGATTGAATACCTTGTTACAATCACATGCCTACAAAAGTATAACTCTCTATGCAATGGGCCATATTAAAGCTAAAGAAGAAAATACTACGTCACTTTTTCACAAGCTGCTTATTATAATCAGATATACAAACATACATATACATATACACATATATATATATATAATAGATATTAAAATTGAATACAATATTATATATGTATATATCTCGTTTTAAAAATTCAATCCAAGAACAGAGAGAGAAAAAAAGAGGTTTCTTGTTCTTGTTCTTGTTCAACTTCTAACTCTAATTCTTAATTATTTCAATTTTACTCAATATATAATTCTTTTCTTTCTTTCTTTCTTTCTTTTACCTGTATGCCGCCCTCATCTCATTCATCAACCTCCAACACGTTATTCTCGATGCTCAAACCATATCAAACCGTGATTGTGTCCCTGTATCTGATCACCGTCTTTTTCGGATTCCTTTTTTCATCGATTGGACAAGCACCGATCTCATACTTTAGTCTCAAGCATAATGTGTTCAACAAGTACTTTGTAAAGATTGGCTGGTTCTGGGTCACTGTTGTCTACCTACCTTACCTGGCTCTTGTGCTGTCCAAGCGAAAGTTTGATTCGCAGCGATTTGCACAAGGCATACTTCGTTATGTTGTCGCAACAACTTACTGGTATCTGATGACCCAATCGTTTTTCGGACCGAGCATAATCGACCGAGTGTTTGTTGCTACGGGTGGACATTGTTCTTCAAAGATTTACAAGAATGGATCCGACACAATCGTTGCATACGACAATATCTTCCAGCAGTCCAGCTGTCGTCGTTTGGGTGGTAACTGGACAGGTGGCCATGATGTGTCTGGCCATTGCGTCATGCTCATCCACGCAAGTCTGTTCCTGTGGGAGGAGCTGAGCTGGGTGTTCTGGTCGGTGCCTACATTCCAGCGCATCAGAAGCCAAGGTGGGCTGGAGTGGTTCTCTATCCTTTCGGTCTTTAGTCTTTTGGGTCTCTGGTGGTGGATGGTGCTGATGACAAGTGTATATTTCCATGGTCATTTGGAATTATTGTCTGGCTGTGTTTTTGGAATTCTCGGTTGGGCATTCACAGTAAGTTTACAAGTTTATATATATATATATATTGTGTGTGTGTGTGTGTGTGTGTGTTTTTGTATGCAAATTAGTAGTAATTTGTCTTTGGTAATTAACCTTTTCTTTATTGTGTCTAGTATTTGTATGCTTTCCCTTCAATTCCTTTTATTGGCATGCCACCAAAATCTCTTGCTAGTGACGAAAACACGTCAAACTCGATCCCCATGGAGCGCTTGTCCGAACCAGAAGAAGTAGACCAATCACTTTAAGACACATTTTAATATTCTGTCATTGCCCTTTTTTTTTATATATATATTTTAAATTAATTTTATTTACCTTTGTTTAAACACCTTACACACCTTACACACTATACACTCTACACTCTACACTTTACACTTTACACAAAACCGCACAGGCTTTAAATTCCTTCTTCTTTTTCTCTCTATCTCTTTTCTATATATACATATATACATATATTATATTTCAAGTTTTTTGTGATGATTTGACATCAGCTCAAAATAGAAACAAAAGCACTTGATTTATATATTGCAATCATTTAGATGTACATATAAAGTATATAAAATATACATACATATATATATGCTTTAGACAGCAGGATTCTTCATAATTCTATATATTTAATGAATGTTCTTTTTTGTGTGCATTTTGTATAAAATAAGAAGACAGACGAAAATTTGTGAATATAGACCATACACATTGATGAACAGATAGATAGATATATAAATAAATAAAAAAGTATATATTGATCAATGTTTCTGTTGTGTGCTTGTGCGCTTGTGTGCTTGCAGGAGTGTACATGCGCGAGTTTATAGTTAGTTCTCTTCCTTTTTAAGGTCACCCATGTTAGTGGACTAGAGAGAGAAAAAAAAAGAATCATTCATAATAATTACACAATCCATTAATTGTCATGACATAACTTCTTTACTACAGCTACCAATACTATAATTATCACTGTCATGATCGCTCTTGACATATTACCTCTGTAGAAGATCTATATTTGAATTATAAAATTTGAATAAATAAATAAATAAATAAATAAATATATTTATTATATTTATCCTTACCCAATGAAAATCAACTGCTGAATCTTGGTGGTCTCTTCATCTTCCTGGTTGTCTTCAATAAAAATCTATAGCAACATGTTTTTTTTGTTATAGTTAAATTATAATGAATCAAACACCCTCACATATTCTAAAGATAATATATGTACGCACCACAAGGTTGACAAGGTTCTGGAATTTAACAAATCTCAAGTTGATAATTGCGTTCTCTTCAAAGTCTTTAGGAATCAGTTCAATGGTCTGTGTCTCCTGGATAGAATCGATATCATCAAATCCAAGGTTCTGACGGTTGGCAAACAACTTGATTGTCTTTGGTGCATGGCCTAGTTTTTTTATTTTATTTTATTTAATGTAATTTAATTAATACATCAATATAATGTATCTATGTAAAAAGGAAAAAAAAAAGGGGGGGGGGGGTAAAATTGTGCTTACTAATGCTTGGAACCTTGATCTTGAGCGAATGGAGCTTGACGGCTGTTCAGATATATTGTGATTAGTTTAAGACCAATTCTTTCTCTTTATCTTTAGAAATAAACCTCATTTGACTCCCCGTAGCTACTACTACATAATAATAATTATATACAAGTTACAAGAAAAATGAATTTGTTACTGACGTTGGTTGAAAGGAACACTGATGATCAACTGCTCGTCAACATCACTCTCGAGGTAAGCATCATTGTTCTTGAAAATGTTCTTGACATTGTGTTCTTCCTGCTGGTTCAAGGCATCCATTTGGTTGGGTGTAATGAACTCTGTCAAGTCAGACTAATAATACAAAACCACACACACACACACACACACACAAAAAAACACAGTATATATGTATACGCATAGAAGGAGAAAGAAAAAAAAAAAGGGGGGGGGGGAAGAGATTTGGGTGTAAGTTATTCTTTCTTTCTTTCAAAAATAATATAATAATAAAGGTATTAAATATCAAGTATAAATTAATTGTAGATTATTGAAACATCTTTTCTTCTTCTTCTTCAAAAGATCCAACGAAGAATAACAACACAAACAAAGAACAAAATGATATTTGTTGAATTTACATGGCCAGGTACACCATAGTTTACGGGAGCAGCAGAAGAAGAGGCTGCTCCTTCACTGCCGCTGGCATCACCCTGATACTGCTTGATGTACTGAAGTAACTGGCCTGGGTTTGCTCCCTTCATCTCGGCCACCTTGTTACCTGCCTTGTAGAATTGGAAAGTAGGCCTATTAAAACAAGAAAAAAAAGGAAAAAATAATAATAGATACATATCACTAATTATTAATAATAATTGATTCAAATTCAAGTGGTAAAATTGAAACAATTGCTTTACATGGAAGAAATTCCGCAGCTCGATGCAACGTCCTATACACATAAAGATATATACATAGTCAGTACATTGTTTGTTTCATATACAGTGCGTATATTATCAAACCTTTGCTTGATCTACATCAACCTATATAAATTAAAAGCAAATTAGCACACAAGCACAATATATATATATACATATATTTACCCAAAGAATTTATTCTTTACTTACTTTTGAAAACTGGACGTTGGGGTACTTGGAAGACAGCTGTGCATAAAGAGGTGCAATCGTCTTGCAGGGACCACTATTGTTATCAAAGAAAAGAAAATTATTATTGTCGTGTTCACCTTAAACCTTGCTTTTATTTTTTTTTCCTTTTGTTTTGATCTGGAGAGTCCTTATCCCCGTTTTATATATATATAAGATTATTCTACTCACCACCAAGTAGCAAAGAAATCGACCACAATAAGCTTTTCAGCAGGTGTGGCAGTTAATAATTGCTGGAATTCAGCAGAGTTGTTGATTTGCTTGATGGTAGCCATTTGTTATAGTCTGTACGTTTGTGTGTGTAAGTTCGAATGCGAGTACGAGTACAAGTGTGGGTATAAGTGCGTTTACGTTTACTTTTACGTGTGCGTGTGCGTGTGCGTGTGCGTGTACGTGTACGTGTACGTGTACGTGTGTTTGCAAAGGAGAAACAAGTACAGGAGAAACAGACACTTTTATTTTATTTTTTGGGATAAAGCGCTTGTACAAAGGAAGTGGAGTTTAGAAATCTTATTAATTATTCTTATAATAAAATTGAGGACGTGGCTTTATCTATTTTTCTTTAATATTCTTCACCACCCTATTTGGCAGCAGCAGCAGCCATCACCGTCGCCTCAACATCAGCCAACTGCGGCGGGACGGCAACCACCACTCCAAAAAAAAATATAATTCATTGGGTTTGTGACTCTTATTGGTTCATAAACCGGAGATTCAAACACAATATATATATAACAAATAAGGAAGATCAAATGAGGCTGCAAAATAAAAGAAAAATATAGCACACACACACATATATATACATATATAAATTAAACTACAAAGAAAACCAAAGATCTTGTACATTTATTGCTTTGATTAAGAAGCAGCAGCAACAACAACAACAACAACAAACACTAGATTACATTAGATTACACAAAGGATGGTCAAATACGCTGTTATTTGCGCGAGTAATCAGAATCGCTCCATGGAGGCGCACAATGTTCTTGCGTAATTATCTTTCTTTGTCAGATTACACTCTTCTATTTTCTCTTTTATACATGTATATTATTGTTGTCTGTTTGGTTTTCTTTTTTAAAATTGTGAATGGAAATGACCTTTAAGAGATAATTATTAATAATAATAATAATAAGACGTCTTGCAACACGTAAATTAATACTGTGTAAATTATATATGTAATACGTATATGTATATAATTTTCTAGTAAAAAGGGATTCGATGTAGCATCCTATGGTACAGGAACAATGGTACGCTTACCAGGTCCTTCGATTGATAAGCCAAATATCTATCCATTCGGAACACCTTATGATCAAGTATATCAAGAATTAGAAGGCAAAGATCAACAGCTGTAAGAAGATACATACGTGTATATACATATGTGATTTTATTTTATTTATGTATAGTGTGTGTGTGTATGTTTTAAAAGAAGTGTATGCTTTAGTTTCTTTTATATAAAAAAAATATTTAAAAATAAAAAGAGATTATTGGGTGTTAATGTGCTTGAGTTAATGATTCTTATTTTACTGCTCTTTCTTTTCTTTGTTCTTTTGGAGTGTATAGCTATACACAAAATGGACTCTTGACAATGCTTGATCGAAACCGAAAAGTTAAAGACGCTCCTCAACGTTGGCAAGAATCTGTAGATACCTATGATGTTATTATTACATGTGAAGAACGATGCTTTGATGCAGTTGTTGAAGGTAACTATTTTATGTTTTTGTTATTATTTGGCTTTTGGCTTTTGGCTTTTGGTTTGATACTTGAGGAATTCATTTTTAATTTAATTATCACTACAAGATTTATCCAACCGTGGCCAGTCTCTCAACAAAAGTACACATGTAATGAATGTCGAAATCAAGGATAATCATGAAGATGCTACCTTGGGCGGCAGAGCTATCTTACAGTTGGCTCAAATGGTAAATCTTACTATTATACGCACATTGCTGTACTCAAATGAAATACGTTATTGATTGATTTGGTTTATTAATCTGCATTATCTTTTGTGTGTTGTAGATCGAGTCTTCGTTTGATATCGACGCTGATGTAGATGACATTATCGACCGCTACACAGAAAAGAATCCAAATTTCCCTATTCTTCACACAGTTGCTTATTTTTAAACAAAAAAACAATTAGCAAACTTTTCATATATGTATTTCTCTTTCTTTTTTAAAGAAGAATAAAGCCCATGTCATAGATAAATCTATTGTTAAAATTAGGCTTCTTTAACGACACATCTCAACCACTCACTCAGGGAAGCAAAGAAGCAGCCGATTAATTGTATAAAGATCATCAAAGATATATTTGTTGATACATTTTATATTGTTTTTTCTTCTTCTTTTTCTTTTATTAGATAACATTATTATTGTTGTTGTTGTTATGAAAAAAAATGGGAATGCCTATACTTTGTTCAAAGCTTCTTGTATGTGTGTATATTATATAATCTGTTTACTTTTTACATCTTCTGGTGTCGATCAAGTCTTGTTCTGTGCCCTTGACTGTGACACCGAAGTTCTTGAGTTTGACTGGTTTTGCAAGGTCCTTATTTGTGCTAAATTTGCTGACAAGCCCCTGTAAATCCTCACTACGAGTGGCACTATCGGGCCAGACATCATCTCTAAAAAGAATGAAGTTAAAGTTAGAAATTATTCTTAATTCTCTAAAAAAAAACAAGAAAGGCAACATACGGATAACAGCATTGAAGTTCGCGTCTTGTGGTAAGGAAACGAGTCAAGAAAGACTGTTCAGTCTCGTTCTTTTTCCGACCGCCTGTCAATGTAAGAACTCGAACGATATTAATGTCTTGTTCTACATATTGATAACCATGCTGAATGATTGTGTCTACAGAATACAAAAGAAAAGCAAATAAAGAGTATAAATATACAAGTACACATGTAATATTTTTATTTTACTTTAATTAATTCATATATATCTATCTCTATATCTTTTCAAACAATACAAGCAAAGTAAAGAAGAAGAAGAAATTACCATAGAATATAGCTCTTCCAAGGGCACTATTGACTCCATATGCGGCTGCATAACGTGCACTGGGGAGCATATAGTTATTGTATGCCCAGTCTTTTTGAACCTTTGGGAATGCTTCTCCTTTACGGCAAGCTTCGGTCTTCCATGCCTTTGAGAACCCCTCGAGACCCTTTGTGGTTCCTCTTCCGGTTCGATCACAGAAAGGCAGGGCACTGATTTTGGCTAATTTGGAAAGGTAAGGCTTGAATGCATTATTGGGATTCTTTTTTGAGTAAGCTTTGATGACCGTTTCGGCGTCATTGGTTCCTGTCTAATTGATAGAATATAAAGATATATATATATGTAAAAGTGAAACAATTGGGTGAGTAAATACTATACATAGATACATATTGGAGTACAGAAGAATGAGATAGAGAACTCACTGTGAATCCAACGTATCCGCATGTGTAGCCACGCAAATCTCCAATGTCAACACAAGATCTTTAATAATCTGTTAATAAAAAAACGGCTTTGCTGTATATACATAATGCGTGTAAATACTTACGCAAATGCAAAATTAGTGCTTCCTTCTTCAAAAACATTGGTTATAAGGCTCGACATTTTTCGAGTGCGATCGTCGATAGATGTAACCTTTGGCAGTTTTGAAAGGTTATAGTATGTAGTTCCGTTCTTAGGGGTAATACATTCTCTCTACAAAACATATATGCACACATACATACAACAGTAAAATAAGTATTAATTAATAAATAATAATAATAATAATAATAAAAGAAAGAATCAAAGTAAATACAACATTTCTTATTATTTTCTATAGGGTTCGCTTACTACTTTATTATATTTTTTTATAATTACCTGGTGGCCATCGCCAAACTTGAATTTTGCACAGATCCCCTCATTAGGTGTGAATTTCCCTTGGCATGCACTGTACTTCTTTGCATATCCTGATTGAACAAGTCCAAGTAGGATAAGGCCAAATAGAATAATCCGACTCGAATGGCTTAATATGAGAGATAGCATTATATATTCTTCTTTATTTATATATATATATATATATTTAATAGAGATAAATGGTAAATGGTTGGAAAGAAAGACCAAGAATATAAAAAGAAAGGAGAAGTGAACCATGCCTCCCTTTATATATATATGTCCCTGATGTACTTTGTATGTATGTAAAGTACTTTCTATCCCACACACACACGCACCCTATATATATATATTTGATTTTTCTGTTCTCTAATAACTCTATTCAAACCTCTTTCCCTCTTTCCCTCTTTCCCTCTTTCCCTCTTTCCCTCTCTCTCTCTCTCATACACACACCTTTTCTGTTTCTCTCCTTACAAAACTTCTTGGTGTCTCCTTTGAGATCCAGACTCGCTGAAAAAGTACATTGCTAAGAAAGCTGAGAAAGTAGCGTGTAGAATAGCAATTGAATGATCTGAAGCACAAACTTTTATTATAATGTTTCTAAAGACGCAATAAGTACAATGGGCGTACAAATTGTAATTAGTAGCATACCACTTTGCTCTCTTCATTCATTTTTTTTTCTTCTTTTGGCCGTGTATAAATTAACCTTGTTCTTATTTGGTTGAGATAAAAAAAAACCCCCAAAAAACCCCGAATCACAAAATCAGTGAACCCTTGGGGGAGGGCATTGAGTTTATTAAGCCCTGGTATTATATATATATATATATAAAGAGACTTATCTATTATTGCTATTATAATGCACCCTGTCATTAATTGGATCAGATTTGATTACCATTAATGCTTTGACTTTAATTCAAATTAGCTACTCATCAATAATAAATGTTCACACGCCAACTGACACTCAATAATAACAAATGCACATGCACATGCTTATAATTATTATTTATTTATTTATTCTACTTTATTTTTGGTAGACTATATAATAGCTGTACTTTATCGGCTTACTGCCAAACAATCAAACGTCAAATAAGCAATGAAAATAAAGGAATCTGTTGATTATAGATGTCTATTATTATTTGATAAATCCACAAACACATACACATACACACTCACGCACTCATAGAAAAAGATAGAGATAGAGATAGAGAGAGAGAGAGAGGAACTTTGTTAACCATTGTTACTTGTCTCTATATTAGGATGGGATAAAGGTAGTTGGTGAATGAAAAAAATAAGACATCTTGTAATTGATAAAAATGGCTAGATTTGGACTAAATTGGAGTCAAGCTGTATACAGCAATCAATGCTATATATTTTATCTACACATTTTGACTCGTTAAAGAGAAGAAAGAAATAAAGAAATAAGGACAAAGAAGAGCAACTTTAAGGAAGGGTTCTTGTTGGTCATTTTTTTTTTGGATTTTCTTTTACGTTACCATTTATTAGAGACGTTTGTGGACTCAGATTTGTAGAGTTGCACAGAATATTAGCTAAAAAAGGCTTTTTTTGAAACTCAAATTTTCAACTTGCATTGCCGTATTTAGCTTATTTCTGTTACATAAAATTGTAGGACATTCATTTTAACTAAACGTACAAGCTGTCATTATCAATTGTGGCTTGATATTCAGTAACGAAAACATTACCGTTACTTGAAAGGGCAGCACCTTTCCCTTTTTCTTTAACAAAATCTTAAAATGTCTCGTTTTGATCCTATTATCGAACTAACGGATCGTTACATAAATCACAGCTCTCGGCGTATTGCTGAAGAACAAGAGCGAGGATGGGTATCTGTTCCTGAACAGCAAGAGGAACATGCAGATGTTTACGAAGATCAAGAGCCCACCAATGAAGAAATTCAAGAAGCACTTGCTCAATATGCCCGAGACCATGAGCAGGAAGGGGAACGCATAGCTGTCTCCTTGCATTGTCAAGGTTGCTTAGGCCCAAGCACCTTGTCTGATGAAGATTCTAAACTTCTGTTTAGATTCACGCAGCCCTAGGTATAATTAAATCATTGCTTTCAAGAAAAAAAAGTACTAATTTAATATATTTATAAAACCAGATACGCTCCTTGGCCACTCTTCTTGAAATGGGAGACATCGTCTACTTTCGAAAAGGCACTCCAAGTGAATTTTCTCTGCCAATGACACTGGCTCTGATGATTGTGCTTCGCAGAATGGTTTTCCCTGCTCGCTTAGTAGATTTATCTCTGCTCTTTGGAAAGGGAAAGTCTACTCTCAGTGTCATCTTCAATGAAATGATAGAGAAGATTTATATTAAGTTCTATTCAGCCTTGAAGTTTGACTACTGTCAATTCCGGGAATCAAACCTGATGCGCTTCAGCCGAGCCATTAGAGAAAGATGTAAATAACACTTGCAAAATATAATATTAGTTTAATAGTACTTACGTTTTATATATTATTTGGATAAAAGCACCGGCAATGTACTGTGTTGGGTTTATTGATGGAACCTTCAATAAGATAGCAAGGCCCATTGTTGATCAAGAGGGGGCATACAATGGCCATTACGTGAGTGAAAGATTGGACATATAGATCTGACACATGTCTTTACTCAATTTATATACTCTTTATAGCGAGGACATGGTTTGAAGTACCAAGCAGTGGTAACACCTGATGGTATTACTTCGTCCATCATGAGGCTAGACTGTGATAGAAATCATAATGTGTGCATGTACTGCGAAAGTCAATTGGATGTCATGATGTGTGTAGCATTTGACTTTACAAGCATAAATGGTCTATGCTATTACTTGTATGGTGATCCGGCATGTACCACATCAGACCATATGATGATTCTTTACAGAAGATATAAGTATTGTATAATTATCTATCTTGACAGTAAAGTCTTATGGCTTATATATTTTTTGTTTTAAAAATGGCTGATGAGCAAAAACTTGCTATCAACAAAAGTATGTCTGCTGTGCGAATTTCCGCGGAGCACGAGTTTGCTCATGTCGGGAGTCTGTGGGCTTTCTTAAAGTACTCACAGACCCAAAGAAGTGGTCAGTCCCCAGTGGGACTATATTATATTGTTGGAACGTTCTTGAAGAACCTCCATGTCTGTTATAATGGAGGAAACCAGACAAGCAAAAAGTACGGTGTTGCTCCTCCTACACCAGAGCAGTACATTTATGGATTATTAAACCAATAATATTTTTTTACTCCAAACTATCTGTAATGTGAAGAAATTTGATGACTATTATGACATGTTTTACGTATATATATTTTTATTGTTTTTTAAGACCTTAAAGCAGGTATCTCTGCATATTGTACTCGAAACGAGCCTGTCTCTGCTCCAGTGTTCTCTGCCTTGTCTCGATAGCCAGAAATCCTCTTTCGACATTCTCCTCCAACCTGCGCATTGAGGTAAGTACCTCACCATCACTTATTCCAGCCACCATACTGGACAATTCATCCCGAAAGGACTTCAACATTTCTCTGGCATCAGAAAAGTCGGCCGTCGATTGACTGACTAGATGTCCAGAAGAACTGCCCTCTACTTTATCTGTCTATTTCTTTTGTTCAACAACTCTCAACGGATTTTTGGACTTCAATAAAGTCGCTCTCTCCACGACTTTATCTGCAGCTGCCTGCTTCTGGACTTCTTCCTCGGAAGTCAATTGCTTTTTCATGGCCTTGCCCCGATCTCCTTCAGCCTCCTTTAAAAACTTATAGTATTAAACACATTGATATTCGACGAATATACCTAATACAACGTGAAGATTACCAATTCAACAAGCTGAAAGAGAAGCTGATCGAGATCAGAGTAGCTCTCGTTTGACCCTGTCATTTTTTTTCTTGGGCCTGTCTTGCTTTGAACTGCTTGACCAGATTCTTGTGTCTCTGCTTGAGTGTTGAGACACCAATTTCGTTGCCTTTACCTCCGGCATCATTGACCTTTTTGAGGATTTCATCCCAGGCAGCACCCGATTGCCCATGACCAGCATATGAGGGGTGTCGGTGGATCAACGATTCCACAAGGAGTCTGTCTCTTCCAGCGATCAGATTTATCTTGTGATTAAATCTGATGGGAGCGTCTGCAGCGAAAGTATTCATATGTGCGTTCATGTTTAAAACCAAGTGAAGGAAAAGTGGTAAAAACGCGTATTATGATAGTAGGATGTTTATAAAATTAAAATTACAAGTGACTTTTTTCGGTGTTATAATTATCAGCTTGCCGTTAGTTTAGAGCAGAAAATAAACGAATATGAGAGGCTACCAATTTGAATAAGGTTTGGTAGAGTAGTGTCTCTATATAGATGTGTATGTAACATCGGGTTTCCTTTCTAAGGCAATGAGCTCGTGCAAAAAGTTGAAAATCTGAGTCCACAAACGTCTCTATTCATTTGTTTTAATTAATCCGTTAATTAATTAAATTAGCTAGGTAGATGCGTTGTTCCTGATTAAAATCCAGACAAACAATTGTAATACGTTACGAATTCTTGTAGATTTCTTATTTGAATTATGTCCTCTTGCATAATAAAAGGAATAAAAAATAAAAGATATTGTGGGATTATTACACTTTCATTGCTGTTTCTGTTTCATATTCAATCATCATCTTTTTCTTTTTCTTCTTGTCTTGCATACAAATACTCAAATTCCCAATAACAGTAAAATTGTAAAAATAAAATAAAATACAGGGATCTTGATAAGAGGCTGAGTCACCCTGTATTCCAAGCATAAATACTTGACTAACATAAAGCAATAGATAAGCCAATATTAAGCAACTGAATAATCGAAGAAACAAAGTAATGAGGATTTCAAACATAGTCTTTGGTGAGGCTTAGATTTTTATTTTATTTTATATATCAAACCTATTGAATTTTTGCATAAAATTGGCTTTTGAACCCTTGTACAGTGGAGGGGTACTCAATCGGATTCCACAGAATTTTTAAATTCTGCAAGCAATCTTATTGGATTAAAATCCTTATAGCCACGTAAAAAAAAAGGGGAGGAATTTGATGTCCAAGAAGATGTAGACATTACAAATATGAAAACATATGTTGCTCCTAGATCTAGATTTCACTACTCTATATGTAAATTATAACACTTTATATATATATATATATATATATATATAAATGTGTTTATAGGGAGCCACAGGCTCTGATTTACTAGTAAACCCCTGGAATTATTAGGGGATTTCAACAGTTATTCAAGCTTTTAAACTTAGGCTTTTGAGTTTAAATTTGAGAAATGATTGGCTGAAATGAGGCTATAACCATTAAAAAAAAAAGACTAAAACTCTTGAACGATTTTGTTCGAAAGTTTTAATCTTTTAATACATCCTTACTTAAATTTGATTTTGTTTTTTTTTAGAAATTTAATAAATACTTGATGCAAGCATCTGTGCCTCTAAACACTACTTTAAACTTATATCCTATTATCACAATGCCTAATAGAACCGAGAGAAGCATTTAGGGTACTCAAAAACACTTAGTAACTCTTACGTATTATTGGTCAATACTTTAAAACTCAAAGCTTAAGCTTAAAAGCTTAAAGGACTGTTGAAACCCCCTATTATTCAACTTAAGATGCTGGCACATCAAATGTTCACAAAATTTCTGCCTTTGCATTTTGATGTCCTCAACTACAAAACAAATATCATTGACTAATGTCCATCTTTGTATTTTTTATATGGAACCTGGCCAAGTACTCCACCGTTTAGTAAAAAAAAAAAAAAAAAAAAGGGGGGGGGGGATAAGTGTAAAATATAATAAAATTGATATTTTACTCTTTAAAGTACTCCAAGACATCAAAATGAAATATTTCCTGACTCAATTCGCAAGCTTTTTTTTGTGCATTGAATTTGGATATCTTGATTCTCTTTAGATTATATTTGCAGCTAATTATTTTACTACTTTAACCTCTACGGTCTGCATCTGCACCAGAAAAGATAATAAGCTGTATATACATCAAGACTGTATATTTGATTTTCATTCATTCATTTTTTGTGCCGTTCCTTTTTTAATTGACTTTAATACATATTTAAAGAAATGTATATATGTTCTAGAGTTAAGAATACTAATACTAATAGAAGAAGAATAAAAAAGAATTAAGATGATACATGGCCATTGGTAGAAGAGTTTGTACAAGTCTATCCTTAAAATAATACCCATAGATAGTCTGTGGGCTTTAGTCATCATGTGGTTCGTATTTCTTAGTAGAGCGACTGTTTTTTTTTAATACTTGATACCATAAGAGCTAGTCAGAAAAATCTTACTGCGCTAGATTTTAGTAGATAACTAAAGATCCGTACTGATGGTGGCGGGTAAAAAAAATCATTGTTATTATTATTATTGTTAATATGTTTGAGAATCATTTGTAATATTCTCTCTTGTCCTTCCAGCATACAGCCAAGACACTTCTTCAAATATATGCCATAATAAACAAAGAATGAAACAAATTATGGAATATGTTTTGCATTGAATATACTTGCTGTAGTTGATGTATTTGGGAAAAAACAGCATGTCATTCCAATATTCTTCTTATGGTTACTTTAGACTGGCGTGTGAGAATATGATTATGAGTATTATTATTTTTGGGTGTCAAAAGCAATAATAGAAAGGTCTATTCAGTTCTATCTGATTTCATTATTTTATTTATTTTTCCTTTCTTTACCGATATGGATTAAATATGACAACAGTCTTTGGACCTCTTTTAACAATTCTTTTTTTTTTACAAACCCATATCCTTGGATCACGACTCCTACTTTTGTGCTATAATTTGAACTACTAAGCCAAAATAGTGATAATCCGGGGATGAAATCATGACAGGAAAAAAAAATTGCCAAACTAATACTATAATTTTTATATCTTCAACGTATATTTCAAAGCTCGATTGCGGAGAGAAATCGACATTTTGTTTTCTCGGTTCATCTAATCCAAATTGAGATTTTTATATATATAAAAATGTGTGTTAAATGATGTAAGGTCAACGTCAAGAGCATCATGTAGACTTGTCAATATCAGGAACTTCTTTTTTTCTCTCTCTTATTTCGTCAAGTTGCGTTCTTTATATGATGATATTATATAGCCATTAATAAACCAATCAATCAAAGACACCAAAAAAAAAGTATAAAAGCAACCCTCATCAGCTCCAATATTTTTCGATATTATACAAAGCATCTTCTTCCCAGCTTTTCTCTACTTAACAACAACTACAAAAAATGATCGATACTCCCTCCCGCACCGATGGCAAGACCGACCAGTTCAAGGGCAACGTCAAGGAAACCGTTGGTTCCGCAGTTGGTAATGACAGCCTCAAGCGCGAAGGCAACACCCAGAACAGCACTGGCCACGTCGAGGAGACCACTGCCAAGACTACCGGCTATGTCCAGGGTTTGACTGACCAGGTTTCTGGTGCCGTCAAGGGTGCCTACAACTCTTTGACTGGAAACACTACCGATGAGGCCGGCAACAAGGTCGAGCAGAAGAAGGGTGAAGCCCAGAAGAACTTTAACTCTTAAAGAGTGATACTTCGTTCTTTATACGTTTTCTTTTTACCCATATTTTCTTCCCTCCCTTTCTATATTTCTATATTTCTATATTTTTTTTGTGTATATGAAATCCGCTTTCCCCTCAATTGTCCCATATTATATTGTCCAAATGTCCTGCGTGAATAAATAAATAAAAAAAAATACAATTCCTTTGAATCAAATATACATGTTGGCTTCTCTTGATATTTCAGTTTTATTTTGATACTAAAGGCATGCAAGCAATTGAATAGACAGATATATAGACAGAAAATATAAATGTGATTCAATCCTTCTTCATTATCACCCTCTCTAAAGCTTTAAAGGAAATATTTCAAGAAATGTCAAGTCATAAAAAATGAGGAAAAAGAAAATCATCAACAAGATTTATATGTGTTTATTTTTTTATGAATGTCCATATGAATATTATATATATATAAAAGTGTGTGTGTGGGTCTAACGAATGTTTACGCAAAATTTGGATAGGTTTCTTCTTTTGCTTTTGCTTTTTGCCCTTTTTTTTGGCGTACAAGAAGTAAATTGACGGAAAGAGATAGAGTGTAACAAACAGAGATAATATTCTTCTTCCTCTTTCTCTGACAATTAAGCTTTGTTTTATCATGTTGTGGTTTTTGGTCCATTGGTTGGCGAGTGGTAGTATAAGAAGAAGAAGAAGAGGGAGAGGGAGAGGTAAGGGAGGGTTGCTGATGTCGCCTTTGCTATGTATGTATATATATGTGTGTGTGTATATATTATTAATATGATTATGATGATTATTACTATATATATGTTTAGCTGATTTCGAGTGCACTGAGAACAGCAAGAATGTACTTGGCCAGCCTTGGTCGCTGAACGGCTATTTGTGTGAGCTCGCTTTCATACGGAATATAATATTCATGATGCTGTTTGTACTTGACCAGGTTCCGTAGCAACAGTGCTGCTGTCAGTGGAACACCAGACACTTCAGAATCGTCCATTGGCATCGAATCGATCACAAAATCTCTCTTTTTTGCAGCCGGCTGGGGTTTGCTAGGCTTGGCTGCAAAGTGAGTGCGCATGTGTTGAATTATTGCTTGTCTGGTCGGGAATCCACTTCGATCACAGGTCATCCAGCAACAAGCATACGACGCAGGAGAAGAAGGAGAAGAAGTATTCTCACCATCAGTGTTTTCAGCACCAATGTGATCATCTAGAATGTGTCTGTGAAGGTCACTTTCTGTTTCGAATCCAAGCTCACACTCTCTCCAACGACAATCCAGTCCTAAAAGCATACCAATAGAAAAAAAATTGGTTGTTATTACATTTTTACTTGACATGTTTATCATCCAATACTATCTATCTATCTATATATATATATATAGTCTCTTGCTCCTTCTTTCTTTCCTTCTTTCTTTCTAGACTTACCTTCAGGACGTTTGGCAGGAGCATATTTGATATTATGTAGTACTAAATCTTCAAGAGGTGCTGCTCCACTTGCAACTGTAGCCTCAACAGAAGGAGGTTGTGGGAATGCGATCTTCAAGACAGTATAGAATTCCTTGACGCCCAATGGTTTTTCGAGTCCAAACAGAGTCTGATACTGAGAGTATATAGCCTTGAGAATCAATGTATCCTCAATTGTCGCACTTTCCAAACGCTCCTTTAACCTATTGATATTCATTATTATTATTATTAAACTCATCTTTTTTTTTATCCAGTAACCAAACACCCAAATATATATATATTTAAAAAAAACCTCGCTTACCATCCTAGACACCGGTATGGCTCATCCAGATGAGCATAATTGGTAAGATCTGGAATCAATGGTGCTGTTTGTTGAGGTTTTTGTTTGTTCGAGTTGTTGGTCGGGTTGCTCAATTGTGCAGACGGAATGCCGTGGATTGTGCTGTTGACAGATGCAGATGCAGGCACAAGACTTGACTTGTAAGACAAGAAGCCTACCAACAGGCCAATCAGGTTTCCGGGACACAACTGGACCAACTGTATCGAGAAGTCTCCGTGAAGTCCAGAGTACTGATAAAAGTACTCTAGGGTTGCTGCCGTCAGTTCTTCGTCATCAACTAGAAGCAGCTGGGCAAGTCGGTCTACGATATTTGGATTGGCTACACTAAGCACCCGTTCGTTGATCTCTGTCACGGCCACACGGGTCAGCCATCGGATGGCGCCTAGGATCAAGGCCCGGTCGTTGGTGAAGAGCAGGCCAGAGATGATGGTGAGGAACGGATGGTTGGGACTGTTGACGATGACCTGGGGCGCAATATTTTCGAGAATGTCGAGACAGTGGCGAGTGAGTTCTGCGTACTGGGAGTCTGGTGGAAGGGTGATGCCGAGCAAGAGCATCTGACGGAGTTTTTCTTGGTGGGCCAGGCGACGAACATTGATGTCGAGAAACGAAAAGTTGCGGAGGATGTGGAAGACTTGGAGGACACGTTCAAATAACTCTTGGTCTTCTTTGGTGCTGAACATGGCGTCGTCCTGTCTCTCGACTTCATACTCTGCTTCCTCTGCCTCATCCCTGTTATTGTTGTAGTCTTTCATCAAAAACCGAACATGTCGATCAAAGAATGGATCGGCAAATCCAAGCAAAAGGTCCAACAGAACTGGCATAAAATCGAGACTAAAGTTTTCAGAGATAAACGAGAACTTGATCAGAGTGTTAAAGGCCCAGTCGACTTCATTAGGAAGGTTGGATTTGAGAGCCAAAAGAATCCGGGTCCGGAATTCCTCGTCCATAAACATGGCTATTAAAATCATATGTGAGTGATCTGGGAGAAGTTGTAGAATTAAGACTGATACCCTGTTGATGCTGATGCTGCTGTTGATACTGCTGCTGCTGCTGCTGCTGCTGCTGTTGGTTGTGGTAGTGGTTTTGATGATGGTAAAGAGGAAGAGAAGGAGGAGGAGGAGGAAAAAGAAGAGGATGTTGGTGCTGCTTACCGGTTGGATAATAGGGAGCTGGAACTCCGGGATATGTGGGATTATAACTATAAGGCTGCCTATTGTTATATACACTGGGATTGTAGGCTGGTTGTGTGAAAGCTAGAATTGATTTGTTAGTTTTCTACATATTATTATTATTATTATTATTTTAAAAAAAAAGTAATTGATTACCTGTAGCTGTCTGGCGTGCAGAGTCCCGTTGTTTTGTATTTGTTCCGTTCACTAATGGTGATCCAGTCTTTGTGTTTTGTTTTTGATCTACCATGTCTTTTGGTGGGTTCCAAGGTCTCTTCCAAAAATCTTCCTCTTCCCATCCAAGCTAAATATATGATATGATATTTAAGTATAATATTCAGTTCACACTTCCTCTTCTACATATAGAAATGTCTAATTCCAAAAAAAAAGAACAAAATAGTCTATTCTGGCTGTCACTAATTACCAAATTTTTTGTAAATACGCCTTTAAGAATATAAGCGCTATTTGTGCAAGTAGGTGGGAAATTGAAAGGATCTCCAACTTGTTTCCATCCACGATTTAATGTTACCTAATAGTTTGTATGGTATTTGTTACAATGACATTTCCAACAACAACAACAACCAATCATTACAAAAATTCTTACTTTGTCATAGCCTCCTGCTTCAAGAACTGTTTTGTAGATGAGGTATAAATCAAGCTTCTTTCCCCCAAGGACAGGTTCAGGCTGAAGTACAGATCTAATATGGATAAACAGATCATTAGAAATTAACATCAAGTATATATACAAAATACCCAAAGTAAATAAATGAGCTCTGTGCTCGTAACATATGATAGCGGTTCCTCTTTTTTTTCGTATAAATTTTGTTTTGTTGAATCCAAAGTAACAAACGATCCAATTCGTCTACCGATATACGTATGTACATACACGCACACTCTATCCATCTATTTCTTTTTCTCTCTCTCTCTCTCTTTATCCATCATATTTATTATTAATGATCGTTTGCTTTACCCCTTCTTTTCGTGGAACTCTTTTAGACGTCGCATAAATTCCTCGTATTCGGGTGTTCTGTCAATGGCATCCACAGGTTGAGACATTGTGAATTCGTTTCCGTCAAGATGAAGTTACAATTGTAATGTGTTGATTGGATCGATTATATATTATATATTGTGTAATGTATAATATGTATATGTATATACATTCAAAAGAAATAGATAACGTAGTTGGTGCCTTGTTTTCTTTATTTCTTTATTTCTTTCTTCTCGGTTGTCGTCTTTTGTAATTTCTTTCGATTGATTCAGTTAAAGAATAGTACAAGTAAAGGAATCAATAAATGATTGCGATGAATAAGAGACGCGATGCAAGTTGTTCTAAACACGAAAAAGAAATCAACTATAATAATATTTTTTTTTCCTTCTTCTGACTGCAAAATATAATATATATATATATATATATGTATTATATAGTAATTAAAGAAGAAGAAAAAAGAGAGAGAGAGAGAGAAAACAAAAAGAATACGACCACACACTTATTCACTTTACACACACACACACACACACACACACACAATTTACATACACTCTCTTGTTTTATTTACTTTACTTTATTTTATGTATATATTTATTTATATATATATATAATTTTTTTTAAAATATAAAAATTCCTATATATGGAAATGTAATTTTATTTTATTTTTGCGTCATCATCACCAAGGTACACCTCTTTTTCTTGTTCTTTTTGATTTATGAACAAGAAAGAAACTCGTTTAGCAAAATTTGTAATTCACCTTTATGCATCCTACAATCTGGCTTACTTTTCTCTAGACTATCTTTTTATCTCATTTTACATTAATCACAGCTTTTGATCCTTTCCGCCTTATAATGTTCTACATAAATAAAAGACGATTTAAACCTGGTTATTCTTGTCGCAACATTAAGCATAATCCTTTCGTGAAATACCATTTTTTCTGTATATACATATAGCAAAAAAATGCAAAAGAATAAGAAGAAGAAGAAGATAAAACGAATGAATTTCCAGTAAAATATACGACTCATCAAGTCAATTACCATAATTCCTTTTTTTTATTATAAATCTCTACTATCCTACATTCGATGAGGCACGAGATTCATTTGTTTCTCATTCGATTTGTACTCTTATTCTACTCTATCATATCATGCCTTAGCATATCTTACCGTGAGCCCATACAGTTAAAGAAGAAATATTTTATTCTCTTGAAACTTTCTTGGACAATTCTTTTCTGTTCCTTACTTATTTGTCATTTGCCATTTGCTTTTGTTTGTTGTTTTTTTTTTCTTTTCTTTTTGAACCTCTTGTCCTGATGGCAAATTTGGAATGTGCAAAAGAAAAGGTACTTATTTCTAGTATAATAACAGTAGATGAAGCTCTCTAATACAGTCAAATAATTAATAAAAAGAAAGAAAGAAAGAAATAGGTCATATATATCACACCCATACAGCATTGTACAAACCAAATAAGGAAAAGGCTGCCTTTAAAGATGGTGGTTAAACAACCTTAATTTAATTTAATATAATTATTATTATTTACTTTGAAATAATAACCGAATGCAACGACTGGAATTAAACAGAAAAGAATGATAATCATAGGGTTAAAGGTTAATGATCAATTAAAGCAGGATATAAGCCTGTTAAGCCTTGAGATTATCACAAAAGCAAAAGTAGCAGAGTCGAAAGCGTGTTTCTTATAAAGTAATGGTACATTCCGCAAGGCCCACTCTTCTTTCTCATAATAAGGGAGCTATCAACTTATGTATTATATATATTTATATATTTGGCATACAGAATTCTACTAATAACTTAATATATAGAAAATAAAAAAATAATAGGGAAGATTCTTAAACAATAGTCGTAATTTTTCTTTTATCTTTAGAGATCAAATGTCCATCATATTAATATACTAGTCGTTAAGCTGTACTGTGTAGTGCTATAAAGAAAAAAGTACAAAAGAAGTAGAAATGCCAGAAGAGTCATTCAATTATCTTCCTTTATATAAATATTGCATCTAAAGCATTGGGATAGTGCTATTTTATTGAACCGATTTACTTGAAGAAATAAAGATGTGTCCTGAGTTTTATTTTATTTTATTTTAAAAAAAAAGAATGTATATAAAATACAAAAGATTACAAAAAAAATATATTATGTTTTGTGTGGATTTAGGTTAGGATGTATTATATACTTGTAAATGGTTGTATGTGTGAATGTATTTTACAGTAGAAATAAGCTATTGTTATAGACATTATTACTATTATTACTATGGTGATTATGATGACTATGTTTATTACTATTATTTTACGATAATTAGAAAGGGTTTTTTCTTATCTTACAGGCACTGTAGACAAGTGTGTCCAAGCAGAGACTCGAGTCTGTCAGAGTCAACTCTTTAAGACTACCCTTAGACAGACTGTCGACCAGACTACGGACTCCACTATCTGTCACGGACAGACAGTCGGATAGATCAAGTGTCTGAAGAGCTGCCATATTATTATTACTATTATTGGCCATGTAGTGCAGGATCGTGTCTGTAACCGTAGCTAGGCCCGAAAGATCAACGTGAACAAGGTTTGGAGCTCTTTTGAGAATGCTGAGAATCATTTGTTCAGAAAGTCCTGTGCAACCATGCAAGGTCAATTGTCTCAAAGCAGCCAGTGGTGCTGTTATTGTTGATTGTGATACTATCTGTTCATCATGGCTGATAATTTGACGTAAGGCCTTGTCTGAGATCCCGGCTGCTGAGTAAAGATCCAGAACCTCGAGTGAACCAAGCGACTCGGACAATACAAGATCAACCATTGCGTCTGTCAGGCCATTTGCTTTCCGAAGAGAAATCTCGCGCAAGGGAACATGGTCACCAGACCCAAGCCCAAGCTTGATTTTTTTAGGCTGGTCTTCAGAGGTTACCGATAAGACTGGTAAGGTTGATGGTAGGGACGACAAGGTAGAGGAGGAGGAAGAGGAGGAGGAAGAGGAAGAGGAAGCCGAGGAAGAGGAAGACGACGGGATGTGAATCAGATTTGTTGATTCCAAAACCAGACTGTCGGTGTTTGGTAGATCCTGTAGTTCTTGTATTTGTTGTATTTGTTGTTGATCATCGAAATCGCGGCTAGGTTCGTAATACCGGTTGCTTTGATAAATTAGGTCCTTGAGAGATGGGCAACAGGTACGGAGGGTTGCGAGTACATGTGAAATGCCCAGCACAGATCTTTGGAGCTCTAGGCGGGTCAGTGATGGGCAACGGTGGAGAAGTGCAGCCATGTAAGAGGGCGAGAGGCCATAGACGCCAGAGAGTACGAGTGTGTTGATAGACAGTGTAGAGTATGCTGAGATGCTTGTTAAATTGGATGCAAATGTAGAATTTGTAGGTGATAGAGGATTAGTCGTAATAGTATTGTGGTTGGATGAGTTATGAGAGAGCGCTGTAGAGGCGACAAAGCAATCGTGTATGTCGAGATGCTTGAGAGAAGTACAGGTGTTGGCTATACTGTGCATCAGGTCGTCTAGTTTGATTGCAATCCCACCCCATCGCAAGGTGTGCAAGCTAGATCCAACGCTAGATAGTAGCGAGGAAAACATTTCTGGTGTACACGTCAGCTCAGATAAGTCTAAATAAATTATAAGTATATGATGTTTAATTTCATTGTTTGGTTCCTTTTTTGGCTATTTATATACACATTTAATAAAACAATAAAATAAAGTAAAAGTAAAAATTGATTGTATGATTATCATTTGACTTACCGAGGGTGTGAAGACGCGGTGACGCTTGTAAAGAGATTGCTTTCAATATACTGTCTCCGTCGGGCTGTTCGTGATGAATCTTGAGATGAGTGAGAGGAGTGCCATCTAGCCGACCAAGATATGTGTTTATGGTAGCTATAGAGAGGCTAAAGTTGTTTTTGGATCCAAAGTCAAGGCTATGCCACAGCCGAGGGGTGTTTATCAGATACTCTCTCCACTGTCTAGATACCCGGGTGGCTCTTACGAGACTGTCGAGTGAAAGACGTCCAAAGATATTGAGTATGAGGTCATACGGTAATACGCCGAGAACATCAATACACTTTGCACAATCCAGCTCGAGCATGCCTTGATAAGCCACTCTCTCGAGTCTACTGAGGTCGGCATAGTAGCTATCGTCATAAGGAACCTTTGAAAGAGATTCCTGCAATATTTCTCGTGACATTCTGTACTGCTGGCTTGTTAGGCAAATGTCTGCAGCGACAAGATACCATTGCGAAGCTGTGGGGTAGAGACGGATCATATGCTTTGATTCTTGAAGAGCAGTTCTCCATTCACCAATGGCCATAAGACATTTGATTCTATATTCTCGACAGACATGATTTTCTTCAAAGGCTGAAAAGGCAAATAGGTGGTAGGCTTCTTTGTAGCGGTGTGTGTTGTAGAGATATTTGGCTTTTTGAAGAAGTTGGTGAGTGTGCATTATGGGTGCATTTGGCGGAACATGGTGTCTAGAGAATTGTTACACCGGATTTAATGGATTTATGTTTAAAGCAATTAAAAATTAAAAATTAAAATAAAATAACATGACTTACGAGCCTGTTAATTGCGCAAAGGCAAGAAGAAGGAGCGACATGGTTAATGCGAGTAAGGGGATATTGTGAAAAGAATCCAGGATGATAAAAGGATTAAAAAGAAGTAGAAGTAAAAGAAGTAGAAGAAGAGTTGAATTGAATTGAAGTTTCTAATATATATATATATATATATACACATTTGTGTGTGTAATTTTTTATTTATTTTTTTCATTTCTTTGTTATATGCATTTGGATAATTTTTTTTATTATTTTTGGTAGGGTTTGACGTATGGGTAGAAATAGAATATACGCACCTTGTTATCTTTACTTTAAAAAGAAATTATATGAAATAGAGTAAAGTAAAATCTTTATTTTTATATTTTTTTTCAATATGAGCCTTTCCAAGGTAGGACTGATCTCTCGTGGAAGTGTGGTGTTGCAATGGATATGAACAATGAGGTCCTTAAATGGAGTAAAAGCTGTGGTGTACTGGATTGTACATGTCACAAAGCCAACGTGTTTCTTGCTGTCTAACCTTGTATATCATGCTCATTGGTCGGTGGATCTTCCAAACTGGCAAGTTGATCGAGCTTTCTATTTTCTGTCTTACCAAAAAGAAAAAACTTGTAGGTCTTTAAACTTGGTAACATACAATCATTGACAATTAATAAAACTATTTTCAAAGCCTTGTAATACCATATTAAACCCACACACACACACTACCAGCTACCAGCTACCAGCTACCAGCTACCAGCTACCAGCTACACTATTCACAATTATATATAGATATAGATATATAGGTATACTGGTATATAGATATATGAATACATGGGTATATAGATATGTATGTATGCATTTAATGTAATGGTAGGTATACATATAAAAATAAATACATACATACATATTATTATTATTATTATTATTATTATTAATATATAATTATTATAATTATTATTCTTAATATAATTCCTATTATTTTATATATATATATGTATATGTATATGTATATGTATATATAAAGGCTTATATGTTTATGCTTATGCTTTGGGAATAATACCAATATGCCATAATGTTTGGTCTTGCATAGGACGCCCGTCCTGCCGATGAACACACCAGACTCGCCTGTGATGCTCAATGGTTGCAACAGCCCGTGCATTTTCTTCATCAACAACACAGTGCCGAAAACGAATAGAGGGTAGATTGTCGTTTCGATGGCGGATACCATTATGTATCATTCCTTCTCTCATTCCCAAATGGGTTCTACCTCCAACTCTATCTCTGTCTCTACGTCTACTGGTACGTTCACCTTCCTCTACTCCTTCTACATTTTCTTCTTCTCGTTCATCCTCAGCCTCTGCATCTGCCTCTGCCTCTGCCTCTTCTTCTTCATCATCATCTTCTTCTTCTAATTGTTCTTGACTATGATCGCCAACCACAATTGTGACTAGTGAATGACACCATCTGAGGAGCATCCACAGACCTTCGGCCTTGACGGCTGGTGCGACAAGGTATCTGAGACGGGGACATTTTGAAACAATCAGGCGAGCAACCGAGGCAGTGAGGATATCATATGGGTTGAGGGTGAATGATATGAGATCTGGTCCGAAAGTGGGCAAGATTGCATTTTGGAGAGCGCCGGGGTGATGGAAATAATGGGGTATATGGGTTATGCTGCCACCGTCGGTATTGTCGGGTGGCATGGCTTGACTGGGGAATACAAAGGAGGATGAGCAGCAGGGTAAGGCAACCAGACTATAGTGGTCTGAACGGATTGCGTCTACTTTGAGGGATAGGTCGGTGCAGGGGACATGGGTTAGCATAAAACATGCCGAAGAAGAAGGCAGTAAGAGGCGGTTGAGTTGTTTTGGGGTGATGCTTGACTGAAGGAAGTTGAGGGATGGACAGAGTTCGAGGAGGAGCGTGAAAAATGCGTCGGAGTGGGCGTGGCCTTGAGGGAGCTTTATGGTCTCTAGGCTCTTGCCGTGCTTTTGACAGAAACAAACTATCTCGTCTGTGGTGGCAGAGTCGGGGAAGATGGCCTTTCGATAGACCTGTTGACTGACCTGCCAATAAGTGTATCTGTTGACGAACAGAAAGGTGATTTTGTCGGGTAGACTGGTGAAGGAAATGATCTGCATCAGCAGTTCATTCGGAAACAATGGAATCCCGTCCAATGGCCATTGAGTAGTCATGGCTTGGACTAGATTAAGTACAGCACGAGGGTTGGAATTAGAAAATGACTGGAAGTGGTAACTATTGTTATTCGCTCTTTAGGGGAAGGAGAGAATTATACAAAAGATATATGTATATATTGTATATTAAATTATATAGATATATAAAATAAAATAAAATAAAAAGAAAGAATGAGAGAGAGAGGGAGGGAGAGAATTGAGGGAGGGAGGGAGAAAGAGGAAAAATGGAGGTTATAATTGGTGTAAGGACTACCTTGGTTCTTTATTTCTCTATTTCTTTTTCTCTTTTTGACTCTCCAGCCTTTCTCTCTTTTTGGCTCTATAGACCATTTATTCAAAGCCATACACATATTGATATACTTCTTTCACCATTTGTGTGTATTCTCTTTTTTATCATTATTATTTATTTTTTTAATTGAGTGAACGGGTTATAATTATTTATTTTATCGTCCAATATCCATCCTCATTTTATTCTTGATTTTATTATCTATTATTGTACTTAAAATATAGATATTTATATATTTATTTATATTTTTGATGAAAAAAAACACGTGTCTTGTGGATAGGAAGACAAGGTAAAGAATGACAATTCTTCGGTAATGAAAAGGAATAAGAAGAGGTATGGTAAGAGCCGAGTCCAATTAAATTAGAAATACAATGGGTTTCGATTCAATACAATGTAATTCTATTATATTCAATTCAATTCAATTCAATTGAACTGAACTGAATTTTATTCTATTATATCGAGCATTTCTCATTTATTTATTCTTGATTCCCATTCCAATCCTATAATATATATATATGTATATCTTTATTATTAAAATCATAAAGAAAATTTGTTTCAATTTTTTGCGAAATAAAATAAATTACAGAAATCGCATTTTACACTTTTGATGATTTTATTATCGCAAATTGTATCACAAATACATACAAATTACGAAATAGCGCGACTATTGGTTTTTACAATACAACAATATAAATAATAATAATTTTTTTTTTTAAATATATTTTTATGGGACTGTCTCATGAGTTTTTTTTTTTTTTTTTTTTTTTTTTTTGCCCGGGAAAATTTTTTTTTAATAGGAAAAAAAAAAAATATTAAAAATATTTAAATATAAAAAAAAAAATTATTTTTATTATTTTAAAAATTTTTAAAAATTTTTTTTTTTTTTGCTTTTATAACAATTTCTTTTTTGAATTTGGATTGAAAACACTTTTTACAAAATCTTTTAAACTTTTACCCCAAATCCTAACATACAAAAGAGAGAGAGAGTTAGAGTCTCTATAAAAAAATAGCCAAAAAAAAATTCTGTATATTTTATGACTATCGGGGTACCAATAGCAGGGGGGAGGGAAACTTACGGGCAATAATATTATACAACACTAACAAAACCAACACTCTACCTTCAAATTATTATTTTATAATTTTTTTATAATTTTTCCCAATCTATCTATCTACCTACCTATCTACCTATTTATATATATACATATATACATATATACATATTATATATATATATATACCCATACATATATACATACATATATACATACATACATACATACATACATACATTTAAAATTATTTAAAATTTAAAAAATTTAAAATTTATTTTAACAACAACAACAACAACAAAGGACAAACGACAAACGACGACAACTTTTTATTTTA